ATGAAATGGGGAGTGAATGCACCCATTGGAACAGCCTGCGCCTCGTCCATACGGGAGGATTTTTTGGTCCAACGGTCGGCTCAATGTATAATGCTGGGGCCATTCACAAGAAAGGTCTCTTCTGTCCTTCACAGCACATGTTCCTTTCAACAAGTGAATCTCACAATGACATGCTGTAAGGAATATTAGCAAAATAAATGAACCGGCGGAAAGCCCCCAGATAAAGACACAAGAGGGCGGCGGGATTAAGCGCTGCACTGCACGCTGAGAGCCGAGGTGTAATCGGGAAAGTATGCGGAGTGGGTTTTTAACGAATACAGTCGGAGGACTTATAGTAGCAGAGGATTGTAAAGAGGAACTGGTTTGTTTTGTGGCTGTTTCCATTCTCCGCTACTGAGAAACGGCCTGCCGGGTCGCTCTGGTCCGGGTCGACAATGATGACGGAGGTCTGTTGAAGCCACCGCATTGGCAGCTACGCTTCTTCTCACCAAGTTTATACAGTCACACTCACTCACGTTAGCACGCCGGTTTCACACTTAGCATTTCGCTAGCTATGCAGGGCCTCGTTGAAATGGACAGCAGGCTTCCACAAGACCTTCCTCAAACACCTCCGCCATCTTTAACGGCGTTCGGACGTCATTGCTGGAGAGAGAAACACTTTCAACACATCATGACTGGTTTAGGCGACAAAACTGACTAAACAACTTGGGTAGAGTGACAAAAATATCAATAATTATTAGCAGTCCACCTCCGCTCGCCCCAACCTGTGTGGACTATCATGGCTTTTCATACCAGTGAACTAATGGCGCAGGTCGGTATCAGGCGGAAAGAGGACGCTGATCAGCAGTCGGTAGTGGACTAGTTGGGGATGAGAGCAGCTTGGATCTCTGGAGGGACGTTTGATCTTCAGAGAAAGAAAGGAAGCGCGTTGATACGATTTGCCGGGGAGGAAAAAAACAAGAGAGTTATTGTTGAGGATCCCTAATTGGCAACGGCCTGGACTTGACACACATTCATTTATTTATTCATTCACGCTTAACGAGTTCAGTTCAACTCTCTTTCACTACTGTTTGTCAGAGGAAGGCAACGTGTTTGTATGGAAGAGCACACGAGGCAAACAGCACAATGCGCCACGCTAAACAACGGCCGAGAGCTCTCGATGTTTTCACAGTAGCCACACAAAGACTCCGGGGTGTGGAAAGAGACCGTGGTGGATCTCAGGAGTCGCCGGCCTGCGGTCCTTAACTCAACTTGTTTAACACACACGCACTGCTTAACACATAAGCAGAGGAAAGCTCGCTCCATTGAACGGCTGCATCATTAAATGGACGCGGAGCGCGTTGGGTGTCTACGGGCCGATCTCAAGATCCCCCGCCTGCCAGCAAACACCGAGCTCAGCACAGAGACGATTGCACGGTGACAATGATGAACTGCTCCGTCGGAGCCAACAGGTGGATGCTGGTGGAGGAGGTGGGGGTTTATAAAATGCTGAATGAGCAGCGGTGGTTACGCTGAAGTGGTTTTTGCAGCGGTTACGTGTCGGCTGAGCTCTTGCCGCCATCTGGCCACTACCCAGCTCAGACAGGCACGGCGATTATTGTTGCAGCAGCAACACGATCTTACTGGACCTGTTAACTGTTATGAAGCAGCCGATCACAACAGGTTATGGATCAGAGCCCAGAGGTTGGCAGCTGTTTTGGAGTAGCAGCACAGTAAACAATAGAAGCGTAAAGCAAGCCTATAATTACAGGTACATTTTTTAATGTGAATTTGCTGTGCAGACTCATATTTCTAAAGCCATTTTACCATAAATTACACTTTGAATATATAATAGAATTTCCTTTCCTTGGGACCCATTTTGCAGTCAGCTTGTTGGCAACTGCACGCGGAAACCAACACTAACATCCTGAGGCAAAATAAGCAGCGAAAACAATTCACTCTTACAATGAAAAGACACCATTTCACAGCATCGCAGTATTAGAGCAAACAAAAGAAGAAGAAACATAATATGCACATAATATCGCGGTAGCAGCCATGGTGACGCACGAGTCAGGTTCCTTACCTGCGGCTGGTGAAAGGAAGCGTCGATCAGGACACCCGATCACAATCAGTCTTTGGGCAACAGTTGTTATTTGGTTAGACTTGTTCTCCATGTCTGGGAGGAAATAATACCGCAGCTTTGAGGTGAAACTGTTGCTAACAGACGAAAGCAAAAAATACTAAATTAACCAGCACATGGAGGAGGTCAAGGGAAATAACATTATTTCACTCAGGCAGGAAAACGTATCTTAATCAAAGTGAGTTGATTTGGTGACGGGTGTTGGAATGTCTAACAATGTAGTGTCCGAACGAGGTCACAGGTGGGCGTCAAACAAGATAAATGACTTTTCATGAATACTTTTTGTTATTTTGTTCTTGCAGAGTTACTCAGAATGTGGCCCAGTTGAAATATCTTGATTAGCTCTTAACATTAGCGTACTGGCCCCATTTGCACGAGGGAATTGGAATCGATTTGGAAACAACAATGTTTGTCCCTTTTTCGGGAGATAGTTTGACTCGTGGGTAACCAAGTTGTGTATTGTATAAATATTGTATAAAGGAAATTTGAATCTTATTCAAATACACTACATATATTCATGCATCCATATATTTGTCACAATAAAATTATATTTGTCATATTGCATCAACTATTTCATCACTAAAAAACAGCAAAGTACAAAATATAGAAATAAATACATCGTCACACTTTAAAAGATCTGCAATGGCCTGTAACTGAATTCCCAGCTTGCAAACAATAAAGATTCATAAAAACATGGAGACGCTCGAATACACGTCTGGTTGTTGGCGGGGATTTTGACTTTGAAACACTGTTGACGCTGCCCTTACTTTTATGAAAAGGAATAAGATTACCAAGCGGTTGATGTTGAGAATGAATCAGTTTGGGGTACTTAAGATGACTTTCTCCCTGACAGCTTTCCACAAAAGGGGAAAGACATCATGTGTTGCCATTAGCAATGGTCCAGCATCTCTGTGTGTGTGTGTGTGTGGTTGTGTGTGTTTTGGATGCGATTTGATGTGCCAGACTGCTGGCGGGTAACCCCACTGTGTGAAATCCGACAGCTCCCACTCTACGGCAGGATAAAAGAATGTCTGTGTGTGACTCAAGATAGTGAATAGGAGCAGGAAGTGGCCTTAAAGAAAGCGAGAAACCAGAGTTTATTCACACAATAACAAATGCGTTCACTCGAGTGAACGTCTCTCTGAAAGCTTATCTGGAAAGCTGGACGTCCCACATTCTTCTGGACCCCATCAGAAGCAACGAGGCCTGGTGGCGTCCGCTGCGCTGACCGCTATAAAGGAGAAGAAAGTAAAAGATTAAAACTCATTAAAAGTTTCAGACGGATAAAGCCCGACTTCGCCCACAAAGGCGTTTACCACGGGGACCTTTAAACTTCTCGCTCACAGGATGCAGATATGAAGACATGAGGGCGCAGGACGTCTCCTCCTCCTAACGTTTTAAACAACTACAAAGCATTCGAGTGTTGATAAGTCAAATAGGATAAAACAGTGAGACTTAAGCGCCTACTTTAAAATAACTGGTCTACATGTGTTTCCATCCTTTTTGAGTGAACTAAATGCTTAAAAATCTATTAGTGATGCACACAGTTCTAGGCCCTTTTAGTAGTTTGGTATTTGCTATGACAATTTAAGAGCGGGTTCCTACTCTCAGGGAACTTTGATGAATGTTTTACCCAGTATTGCATGAAATTGCAGGTAGAGCTTACGTCAAGTCAATTAAATCCAGTTTTACATATTAGTTTTTTGACTGTGCTTAAAGTATTAAAGACTTATACATGGATTTCTGAGAGCATCCCTGTCACAGCAGCACAGCGGAACAGCAAGGCAGGTTTTGTGCAAACACAGATATGACATAAATCCTTTTAATTTACTGTGCAACTTATTTGTCTCAAACGTAGCGACGGTTGATGAGGCAAAAGCAGCACGTTTCAAGAGTTAGAATAAGTACAGTTCATGAATAGAACAATATGGTTTTGGAAGACATCTACATTTGATTCATGTATATGCTGCGAACCTCTAATACACATTGATTCAATGTTTACCTTCCTGATTGAGGTTGGATTGGGATTCAGGGACAGATTTAGAGTCTTATCAAATTTCATTATATCGCAGCAATGTGCTGCATCCCAATCTTGAGTAATGAATGAGGACTTTCCCCCCCAAATCTTATACATAATTTGTAGCAGTGCCAATGTGTGTCTCTCTGGCTGAAGTATTAACAGCCCACAGTCCTCTGGCCAGCTGACCAGCACACACCCACCCAGCGGATATTAAGAAAAGAACCCTTGTGTTGCGACCTGCATGTGATTTAGTGTGCAGTTTTGCAGTTCACTCTGCAATTGAAAGACTGGAGTGACGGACAGATTGTGGTTTCTTTACTGGAGAGCGATCACTGCACAATACATGGGTAATTATGGCAGCGTTAGAGATTTATGAAAAACAACTTTCGGATGGCTGCTGTGAATATCTACTATTAATTCAAGAAAGAAACAAAGCTCTGGTTCTCTCTTTAACACTCTGAAGAGCTTAAAAGGAAAATGTATTTCGACGTCCCAGTGCCAGCAGAGGAGAAGGAGGAGGCTGCTTTACATTTCCACTTCTCTGGACACACCAAGAAAGCAGACGATCACTCATTCTTAACGTGGCCTGCAGAGCGACAGTCACTGAACATAAAAGCCGTTTGCTTTGAAGCGAGGCTGGACGTGGACACAGAGCAGCGTCCAAGTGATGCTTCTCCTCTGAGCGACCGATGGGCGCCGAGGGCAATGTTTGCTCCTCGCAACACGACTGTTACTGTAAAACATTTAAGACCACTTTAAAGATAAATAACCAATGTCAAACATTTTAAGGCACTTATTTACTCTCACCTAACACTACACCCCATAACCTGCATGAAGAAATGAGTGGCAGAGAAGACGATAAACAATTTAAAGCAAGCTTTTACTTCTGTTGTGATGTGAATAAAACATGTTGATTAAACCTCAATTCAAAAACAAAATTACTATTTTATCAGTGTTTGGGACACCGATGTGAATAAAACATGTTGATTAAACCTCAATTCAAAAACAAAATTACTATTTTATCAGTGTTTGGGACACCAACTTTCCATTTCACTTGGTAACATGTTTTCCAAAAAAAAAAAAAAGATCAGTGAGAAATAATATTCTTCAATACGCTCCAGAAGTCACTGCACAACAGAATTATCCACAGCAGAGCCTTAAATTCACACACGCAGATCAATGAGGAGCTAAAACTTAAACTTAACTATTGCCACGTGACATGCCAAATAAAACACGTGGATCACAACACACGCACACGTTAAGAACCTTTTCACATCGATATGCAACAGGTCAACGCAGAAGAAAAGCCATTTAAAATGTCCAGCAGCAGCAGCTCGTGGCAAACAGCAGCATGCAAACAGTCCGATCGCCCAACTTGAACTCAGTCCTCGTACTCCGTGTACTTCTTGGCCGATCCGTGCACTTTGCTCGCGGGGTATTTCTCTCTGTTGAGGGCCATCTTCCGAAGCACCGCCCGCGGGAGGTCGACGCGACACTTCTCGGCGAGCTCCACCAGGTAGATCATCACGTCGCTGAGCTCGTGCGCCAGGTGCTCCCGCTCCGAGTCGGTCCAACCGGGCAGGCCCTCGGCCACCTCCCCCCGCCACTGGAAGAGCTCCGACACTTCGCCCACCTCGCCGACCAGGGCCAGCAGCAGATTGCGGGGCTGGTGGAACTGGTTCCAGTCCCGCTCGTCCGTGAACTCCGCCTGCAACCGCCTGATGTCCTCCATGGTGGGCTGCGGGCTGAAGGTGAACCTCTCCTCCCCGGTTCCTCCGTTCCGAGACGGGGCTTTCTTCCCGTTTACCGCCGACGAGTGGGACGTGTCGTTGCCGCCGTTAAGAGACACGGAGGGGTCGTCGCCGTTTTGTCCGCAGGCGTCCTTTCCGTTTGTAGCCATCATGTTGAAGGATTCTATTGTTTTAATCGTCTGTAAAAGCAATGTTTTATTCAGTAAACAACGTGATCTAACAGCGGCGCTGCAAACATGTGAAGAAGTCCCGCCGGTTTTTAAAGCGGAAATGACGCATTATATGTAGGAAACCGCAAAGTCACCCGAGACTGGTATTTGTAGTTTTTATCTCGGAAAGAGCTTCGTCCGCTGTGGCGTAAACTGTCAGTTTAAAGCACTACAACTCCCTTGTTCTGTGACGTAACAACATGGCTGCCCCCTCCGTAGCAGTAAGTGAGCTGCTGCATAAGATGAATAAACGAATCTCACTATTGTACCCAAAGGCTTCGTGTATCATTAGAAGGATAAGCGCACCAAGTTCGCGATGCGAGAGTCAACCGAAGCTGAGAGCGAAGAGGTGAGTGACGATGTCAGTAAAACTCACAGCGGAATACTTTATGCGCCATGGTGCCCCTGACGTGTCCCTCCACCAGCCCGCCGCAAACAATGCGGTTTAACAACAACCAATGGATGAGATTCCTCCGCCGGGTCGACCTGTTTAAAAAAGATAATTGTTATCAAGATTCATCAGGTTTCTTCCGTGGATACTTGCACTTCTCACCTGGAGAGAAACAAGCTGTGTTTACACCCTTTATAGTCAATTAATTATCTCTCTGAGAGTTCCAGCTACGCTGCATGTTTACTTTCTTAAAGTTTGGACATTTGCAGTTGACATATTATTTTCTTTTATTCAGTGATGTAACTCACTTAACGTTGATAAACCCATTTTATTGTAATTCACCCATTTCCTGTTACAAGCTCTCCCCATGTATTTGTTAAATACATTATACACATATATATATATATATATATATATATATATACACACACACACACCACCATATGTTTTTCCAGAGTACTGAACACATGCGCAGAGGAGGAGGAATGTATCATTTGTCTCCGGGAACAAGAGACTGTATACTTACTATAGTAGTATGTACTAGTTTTTATAAGAGTTCATACACTACGTAGGCCCACCATATCTTAATATTTTTAGCGGAAATATACAAGAAATGCCATTGAATGACAAGTTAACTGTGATTCAACTTCGCAAACCAAATGGTTTTTGAAAGATTCAATCATTCTGCCTACCTTTATTTCCTTTCTGCATTGCATTGTGGGATGATTACTGTATTGCTGATCCCCCCCCCCCCCCCAGTGTTTCCCAGCACCTCGTCGGCGTGGTGGGATTGGGAGTGCACGCCCAGATATACTTCAACACAAAGCTGTTCTCCGGCTCGCCGGTTGGTTTCTCAGCCCCCCCCAACTCCCTGGGTGTCTCCCTTTTGATGCATCCTTACCAGGCACATTACCCGTAAGTGTTGTTTTAACTGGAATCGGACAACCTTTTATTTTTATTTTCATGTCAACCTTTTCTTGTGAGCTCTTCGGTTAATGCTGCAGCAATGTGCGTCCCCCCCAGGTCCTGAACAAGCGATGTGTCGAGGCGGCGGTGATGACGGGATTGGCTCTTAACTGCACCATAAACAAGAAATCCCTTTTCGACAGGAAACACTACTTCTACGCCGACCTCCCCGTGAGTTCTTCACTGGCGCTTCTCTCAATTGTTGCTTTCCGTGCAACACCTAGGTTTTAAGAGGTGGTAGCACAGACGTTAATGGGGTACTTTATCTGACAAACGGCATCGCAAAGACACTACAGTCCTGCACACCGTGCTGCATCATTGATTCAGCTTTGATATAAGCTCAATCGCCCCCCCAAGTTCTCCCTCACCGCTTTCCCACTGCACTCTCCCGGCCACGAGCACTAACTGAAATAGGGAGCAAGTCCTGCTGAAGCAGCAAAAAGGCTGTTTGCCACACGCACGGACGAATGGCACCGAAAGCTGTTAAAGAAAACACTCTGGGCATTTTCTTTAACGGTCTCGTTTCCCTTAGTGCACTTCTGTTTGAACATTTTCCACAGCTCATTTCCCTCTTTGCTGATGATTTTGGAGATGGCGTTCTTTTATTCACATCATTTGAATGATGACAATCCACGGTCGGCATTCGCGTGCCGGCTCATTTGCAGTAAGGTTTTCAGAGCTTTTCTGTCGAAAAATAGCTGCGTGCTGGGACCGGAAGTTACGGTGATGAAGAAAACAGTGACGGCGCAGAGCGAATCCAAGAGGTAGAACGCGTTTACCAGCACGATATTTAAAGGGGGCAGCGTATCAGTCCCACGGTCATCACTTGGGAATGTGGCTACTTATGTGAATATCCGACAACAAGCCATACGAGTCAAATGGCCGCCTGGTAAGGAAGAGGACACTCACTGATAAATCCATTTAACAGCTTTGCCCAAGAGATGCTCACTTTGCTCTCTGTAATGTGGGGCTCGCATGGCAAAGTTTCACTACCCCTCAGAGCCCAAAGGGTAATTTGACTTCTATTATGAGTGACATTTTAAAGCTTAGATGAAAAAGACCAAATGTCACAGGAACTCGAGACTTGCCCTACAAAGACCTTTTCTAATAAATGGAGAAATTCTCCAAAGACGGCTGTTGGGGAATTTTGCGTCCTGAGTGTTCGAGGTCGGTCGTTCCCTTCCTAAGATATTATGTTAACACTGCGCTGGGAAGGTGATGAGGAGGGCAACGAAGAGCTTAAGTGAATTTCCCAAAAGAAGCGGCTTCAAATGAAAATGCTGTAACCCCGTGACGTAGCGGTAATAAGCAGAAATACACTGACTCAGAGCACCAGCTGGTATTTTTATTGCACAATTTCTAGTGTAATAGGACTGATTTAAATGATTGCTTCCATTGATATATCTGAATGGTTTCTGCTCTAATTTCTTTGATTACTTGACTTTATTGTGAAAATATGACTGTTACGGGTTAATGGAGCACAATAGCTTTCTGTAGATAGATGGAGTTTTACCACCATTTAAAATTTCACAGACTTTACTGGTTATCACACAGTTGCAGCTGGACATATTTGAATCACAATGCTGGGCAATGCTTATCTCCCCAGAGGCCATGCAACTCGACATTCTAGCAAAATTCTCCCAGATGCAGAGGGATTACTGTTGGGTTTCTCTTGCTCTTTTGTGTGTTTGCCCAAGATTGCATCACGTCCTTTGGAATAACTCTCAAGAAGCCGACACACGCGCAGCAGGAACAATAACACCCAATTGCAATCTGGATTTTTCTCTGAGGTATCCCAAACAACTCATGCCGGCCGGTCGATACTGGACCGTCTATTTGTGCATAAAGTTTACTGTTGTCTCTGCACGCAATAGCTGCTGTTGCCTCGTTTAAATAATTGTTTATTTAATCTCATCAACTATTCAAAAAGAGAGACCTGGCTTGAAATTGCTTGATAACCTGAAGAGTCAGAGTGCTTTAAATTATGCAGATAATACTTTTCACATACGACCTGAAGTTTGAGTGTAATCAATGCTCATAAAATTGAACCAGGAGGAGGATCGAGGGGGGGGGGGATTATCCCGCCCTTGCAAAATACATTTGTAATTTGCGTTGTGTATTATTGATATGTTCCACTAGAAACCCCTGATTGCATTTTGTGAATCACCACAGTTGCTCATGAAATGATTCCTCCTCCTCCTTTCAATTGAAATGGCAGGCAAGCCATAAAAATAATGTTTCCTCTTAGGTTTACAGCTTTTTTTGTGGGCGGGTTTGGAGTGTGTGTGTACTTGTCCAATGCACTAAACACTATGTGAGAATGCGTGCATCTGTGATGTAAAAAGAGTTACAGGGAGCGTTTGGAGCATCTCCCGGGGCTTAGGGAGTAATTGGGGAGACTAAATGTGGCAACAGGGGGTCTTATTGGGAGAAGACTGTCCTCAGCCTTCCATGTGTTGGAAGTTGGAAGAAACAGAGGATTTCTGAAAAGCGGCATTATGAAATGGTATTCACAAAAAGTCCTGCAGATTTAGTGATTGAATCCACCAAGAAGAACAGTAGTTAAACAACCCTCCTGAGGTTTTTTTATCTCTTATTCTATTCAAAAGGAGGAACTTATTGATTGTGTCAATTAGGCACATTGAATAGAGAGCCTGTGACTAACTGCCCCCCCATGTCCTCTCCCACGTCCCCACTTTCCTTAGCATAAGTGTTATTAACGTGTAGTTCCTGTGATGTGGTTGCCATAGTAACACGGGGAATCCGTACTCGGTGGTGATTCTTTCAGGAGTGGAGGAGCGGATGAAATGATCATTCTTATGTTTTTCTAAAAAGGAACCTTGAGTGAAGTGCCAGCACTGAACTGCTGCATTAATAGCGGCGGCTCGGTCCAATCAGCCTTCACGGGGTTTTAATTGACGGTGCCTGCCGCATCTTTACACAAACCCAGGACAGCCGCTGCTGCAGGGCGGCACGGTGCGGTGGCGGCGGTCTTTCCACGTGTTGTCTCCAGGGGCTCCGGTTCTGACTTTAGAATGATGCTCGAATGATCTAAAGCACATCATCTAGAAAAATGTATATCCAAAATTTCAGGCTGGATACCAGATCACGCAGCTCCGGCGGCCCATCGCGGTAGACGGCGTGCTCGCTTACAGCCTCCTCGGAGGAAAGAACCGGAGCCAGGTCGTCAAGAAAACCGTCAGCATCAAGCAGATTCAGCTGGAGCAGGACAGCGGCAAGAGCCTCCACGATGACGTCCGCAGCCAGACGCTCATAGACCTCAACCGAGCAGGTAGCCGTGCTATTCAACAATAGAAACTATTCAACACACAACAATTAGTCCCGAAAATATAGTAAGGATTTCGGAAAGTTTTGAGGGAGGTACTGTTTTTTCAGTCAGACGTGGTTTAAATTGCTCAACAAAGCGGGGACTGCCGCCGAGGTTTGTTCCAGAGTTCCACGGGACGGACACCTTCAGAGCTGTCTTCACGTGTGACAGGTGTAGGTCTAATGGAGCTGGTGATGGAGCCCGACATGAGCTGCGGAGAGGAGGCGGCCGCAGCCGTCAGGGAGCTTCAGCTCATCCTGCAAGCCCTGGGCACCTGTCAGGGGAACATGTCCGGTATGGAAACCCCTCTCCGTCTGTGTGTCTCTCAGTCCCCCTCACTATGTTTTTTGTTTTTGTTTTTTTGTTTTCCGAAACTTCGAAAACTCCAAACCTATTTCCCGCTTTGCGTGCATGTCGTCCGTCTCTCTCCGCAGAGGGACAGCTGAGAGTGGACGCCAATGTGTCCGTCCACCAAACGGGGGAGCCTCTGGGCGTCAGGACAGAGGTGAAGAACATCAACAGCGTCCGATACCTGGCCAGGGCGATCGGTACGTTCCAGATGTCCAGCGTGTCTGGGTTAAGGGTGCGACGGGTATTCGGGGAGGATCTTTGAACACGGTTTCATGTGATCGGGTCTCAACTGGCTGCATGAGGCCACACACACAGGTCCAGAACCAGTTGTTATAGATTAAACTGTATATAAGAATATTAGCTTTACCTTGACCAATTTAAATAGTAAAATACTACATATTTCTGTATTATGTGTACGTTTATCAAGTCGGATTTGCAATGTAAGACTTATAAAGGGAATATCACACTGTGACATTGCTGCTCTTACTTAATTTAAAGGAGAACTTTGTCACACAAACACAAACTTCAAGGAAGCCAAAGAGAAAAACATGCATTTTCTGTAGCCAGGAAAAACATTACTTTGAAACGTTTTCAAAATAAGATTGCTCATTTTATGTAGAGACATTAAGGAAGCCTAGTTTATACTGACAGTAATCATTTTTGGACTAACCAGTCACAAGCAATTAGCTGTGATTGCAGCGTGGGATTCCGAATCGTCTTCACGCGGCTGCTCACTTAAGAAAGCGTAGATTTTGTGTCAACTTTAACGTCGCAGACGGTCGATTGAGATTTACTCAAGAAAGACGACCTCCAGCCGGGAAGCGTCTGGTGCACGGGGGACATGCTGCACATTTACACCACTGCATACTGTACAAGTTTGTATTCAAAAGTCCTGCAGAAGAACATCGTCTCTCACAGCCGTAACGTAGCGGCGACACGTTAAGTGTCCCATTCAACCGCCACGTCCTGCCTGTACTTGTGCTCTCGTTAGTTACTCTCCTTTTGCGTCCCCAGACTACGAGATCCGGAGACAGATGGAAGTCCTGCAGAGAGGCGGCACGGTGCAGAACGAGACCCGGGCATACGATTCAAAGTCAGGGTAAGAGGAGGGAAGAGCCAGTGTGACACCCCCTCCGGCCGGGAGTCTCGAGCTTTTTCGCGCAGAGGAACCATGGTGGTAATCACGATGAATGGAGGCATCTTTGGGTGGCGCCGTCGTCCCGTGTTCTGAGCGTTATGTTCCACTTAGAGTGAGCAAGCTTCTAAAAGTTTTATAAATGCTTCCGCTAATGGCAGTCTGGGTTGGTGAACGCCACTCTGCGCCTTTGTGTACCTGTCGATCGCGCCGTGGGAGTGGAAGGACTTATTTTTCCCCCTTTGTCAAATATAAAAGTTCAAACGGAGGTCACTGGAACATGAAGAGCGTTAAATATGTAAATATCAGAGAATACAATGATTTCAAAACATCAGAGAACACGGCAGCCCCAGTATTGATGATAGCAAGTCATTTCTATGAGATAAATTCGGTCCAAACAGCAAATCGTCCCATTTAAGAGCCTTCAACCAGTGAAGTTTTGGCAAACCTCCTTCCGACTGACTCATCGAGCAACTAATTGTTTGAGTTCAGGTATCTCTGATTTAAGTTAGCTACGTTAATAATCATCTTTTTCTCTAGGGAGACCATTCCTATGAGGGACAAAGAGGGTCTTCAGGACTACAGGTAAGCGCACGTTTATTTGCTTTATTGATGTGGTAGCAGAAGACAATCCTGCTCTGAGTGACTGAAAGAGTGGCAAGTAGATGGAGAGAAAAAGATTGTGGTGATGAAGCATCCCCCCCCTCCCCCCTCCCTCCACTCCAGGTTCATGCCGGAGCCCAACCTGCCCCCTTTGATCGTGTACGAGGATAACGCGTCGCTGCCCGCTGGCGTCGACGCGCGGCAGGTTGTGGTGGTGCAGGAGATAAAGGCGGCGCTGCCGGAGCTACCCGGCGTCAAGAGAGAGCGGCTGGTGCAAACGCACGGCATCCTGCCCGAGCACAGCTTCACCCTGGTGGTGAGTCCGTGAGGAGGGCGAGAGAGGAGACGTGATTCTCGTCACCGCATCTGCTCTTTCTGTTAATCTCCACCCGATCAAGTCGGACTCCGCTGGATTGATTCCCGGCCCGAGCGATGCAAACGTGCAGGTGCAAGTGGTGAAAGCATGTACGCGGCGCTGTCGTTGCAGAACGAGGACGGGCTCACGGAGTTCTTTGAGGCCGTGCTGGAGGGGACCACGAAGGAGCCGAGGAAGGTGATCGGCTGGGTGACGAAGGAGCTGGTGGGTCACCTCAAACAGCGAGACATGAGCGTGAGCCAGAGGTGAGTCGTCCAGCCACGTCCCTTCGTGTCCCTCTGCCGTGCAGGATTGGTCTCAGCTCGTGGATGCAGAACTGTTCTGCTCGGGTGTGGGTGTCTTAAAGATGAAACCACTCGCTGGTTAGGAAGCTGAACACCCTCACGACGCTCGCTGTTCAGGTCCGCCTGTGAACTTTCACTCCGGTCTCTTTGCGACTCGTTTCCCGTCACCTCTCCCCGTCTGTAATGGCGGCACAGAAGAGCCCGCCGGGCTCCTCGGTCACAAGCCGCTGCTCTGAGGGGTTTAACTTGTTTGTGAAAAACACGATTTAGTTCACCTGATGTCAGAAGTTGAGCTCCATATCCGTTTACTCATGACTGAACGTAAGCCCGAGACACTTCAAGGAATTAAGCGTTCATGGCAGATGGTTTTACAGATAGATCCGGTACACAAAGAAAAAAAATCCCATTAGCGGGGGAGGCTGTGCAGGGGGAACTAATCCCCCCCCACCCGCCCCTTTGATAAACATGAACATTAGATCTATAACACCAGTTAAAGCAATAACTCTAATAAACTTTGCTCATTAGGAGGGGTATTGGATGTTGGAGGGAGTCTCGCAATTTTTTCTGTCGTTCCAATGCGATTGGACGCGGCCCGAATTCCGAACTGGAGGCCAATTTTGTCTCTCATCCTTTTTGAATCAAAACGAGAGCCGGGGGTCGTATTGATATTTAGTTTACCAAACCACTTTGCAGGCCAACAAGAATCATAATTCTTCTTGGCTCAATAGGAAAGACCTTATTTAGTTATGGAACCGTTTCCTTTTTGAGATTGCTGAGAATATATAATATATATATGTATGTATATACATATATAGTTAAACTGTCTGGACCCTGGCAGCATGTCAACCTTGCTGGTCTCAGCATTCTGTTATGAACTGGTGTTGTCCGAGTGACATCATAGATTATTGGATTCTTTGAGCTCATGAATGTAAATTCGACCAGATGACCATTAGTTGGTGAAATCATTATTTCTTACACTCAACACTCAACTAAAATTGAACAAAATCCTATTTTGATATTTCTAATATAAAGAGACGTTGCTATCTAGTGAAAGAATGACGCCACTGGTGTCCCACCGTGTATGGCGCACTGAGACGCTGGATATCGTTGGGTGGGATGCATCTTTGTTGTGCCAGATTAAGACTTTAGAAACCTCACTGCAAATTGTTAAACTTGAAACAAATATATATATATATAGAATACATTTAGAAATACATATAAATAATGGATATTTTTCATTTTTTTCAATTGTTCTCTTAATTTCATTACAGAGTACATTAAATTGAAAAAGGTAACGGGCACAGACGCTTTGAAGGTTCATTTATTTCCTCTTCCCAGACTGTCTGCGTGTGAGTAAACCACCGAGAAGCTGGCGTCAGTATGTGCATGATGTTGCATTCTCTTTGGTTGAAAGTCGGAGACTCAAAGAAAATTAAAGAGCGGCCGGCAGGACGGTGAAGAGCTGCAGGCGGAGAAGAAACTAATTGGCATTTTGGGGTGAACAGAATGAACAGTCTTCATTAAACATGACATTTTGGCCCATACGAAGGTCTTTGAATATAAAATGTCTCTACGTCGCCTGTCCTGTATGATGCGTCCCAACTGTTTTATCCCTCTGGTCGCTGAGTAGCAGAGATGAAAAAAGCAATTTTGAAGCATTTCGGGCAGGTAACCTGAGAGGGGAAACTCACCTGACATGTTTCAGCTTCCTCCAGGTGAGACAAGCCACTCGTCTCTTTCAGGGTGTCCCCTCGGGATGGATGCTGGGGGGGCCGATGAGGGAAAAAAATCACTGCCTGGGGGGATTGTTGGCAGGCTGGTGACGGCATACAAATATATGATATATTTATATATATATACACATCACCAGGCCTACATTAATGCTCTGTGGAGGCATGGAAACAACTCTAATATGAGCAAAAGTTTACTTTATATTTCACATGCTGATCATTTATCTACCAAACTATTTCAATTCCTGTGCTTGTTCGCTAAGTGTTTGTGTCAGAACGGATCCGTATCACACCAGTAATGACGGTAATCACCATCAATCTATTTTCTGCCTTTGCACAATTTGTTTCTTCTTTTCTTTTTATCAAATTTCACTTTATTATTTAATGCATTAGTTGAGATTTTGAGCCGCCTGGTACCACTGTTGTTCAAACCGAGGGGCAAAGATGGATACTTTCATCTTTTTATCCACGTGAGTTGCACAGAAATTGGAAAGTCAAACGCATTATAGTCACGTCGCAAACTTCGATGGACCCTTTTGTCCTTTCAGTCTGATTCTCCTGCTCTTCCGTTTTTCTGCATCACCGATACTTGACTGCATCTATTAAGCAGTAATTTCCCCAAAAAACCTTCAATTTGATTTCAGTCCAATCTCTCCGTCTGCTCTGGCTGAGCTGCTGGAACTCCAGGAAACTGGACACATCTCCTCTCCGGTTGCCAAGCAGGTCAGTCTGCTGCTCAGAGCGTGCAATTACCCGCTTCTCCCCGTCACTCCACACTGTGTACACACACACACACACACACACACACCCCCGCCAGGGGCTGCTTGTGTTCTAGTTTCACCTGCGTCATCCTGGTTTCCTCTTCTCGCAGGTGTTCCAGTACATGTGGAGGTCACCGGGCAAGACGGCCCCTCAGATCATCCGAGAGGGGGACTTGGGTCTTGTCAGCGACACCACACAGCTGCACAACATCTGCCAGGAGGTTGTGGACTCGCACCCTGATGCGGTGAGGGCTCGCACATGCAAATTGCCGTAATTCTATTGTTTAGTTTTGCACGTTCTTAGAGGTCTTGTGTTTTGTTGTGGCTCTCCGTAGGTTCACGCCATCAGAAACGGAAACAAGAAGGTTCTGAACAAGCTGATGGGCCTGGTTCAGAAAGAGACCAAAGGCCGAGCCGACCCGGTTCTGGTGAGGGCAATTTTACAAGAGAAGACATTGTGATATGCACTGCAAGACCGAGCCATGTCACAGACACACACACACACACACACACACACACACACACACACACACAGCCGGAGCATGACAGGTGTGGCCGAGAAGAGCGCCGTGACACCGATCAATGCAGCGGTACCGCTGCAGTACACGGTACCGCTGTATGACACGATGGTTGATCAACGATGGTTGATGAACTATTGACTATTGATGACATTTTTTGTAAATAGGGAAGAACAACAACCAGTGACTTCCATGTTTATGTGTTTAAAAATGAATAAAGCTTTTCTGGTTAAGGCTCTCTGCGGCAGAGTGGAATCAAACTTATAACATGTTAAATATCCTGAAAAACGAAGCACTTCATTAAATGTTTAATTGAAATGGTTGGGTGAGGAAATAAAGAGGATTGTGATTTCAACAAAACAATCATCCAAGCAGCCCTGCGTATAATTCAATAGAAGTATTTAATTACAACTTTATGTGCTTTGGGCAACTGCCATGTTGCCAATTATGGTAATTTGTGAGGGCTGGAAATCACACATGATTAAGAGAAAACCTGAGACCGCTCAGACAACCAGACTTAGAGCAATTAATGAGCTCCCTCTTGTGGCCGAAGCACCTAACTTCCCTTTTAATTATACCTGTAACATAGTGGAGCATTACATCTGGATTCTCTCTGGTGTTGGTGTCAACTTAATTATTTAAAAACATAATATATATGTTGCTTCTCGTCTATGATCACAATAATAATAGCCTCAACATTGATCCCTGCAGTTTACTCATATGTTGTGAAGTAAGTCTTTAGTAAAACTAAAAAATAATGGATAGTTAGATGGAAGTTAAAGTCCGACAGCCTCCAGGGCCTCGTATATCAATTTCCTGCAGTTTTCTCAGGGGAAATACTTTCATTCTACTCTCTTAACCCTTTAGCAAAAAGATGTTGACTTGTGCATTCGTGTTCTAATGATGAAGCGGATATTAAGCAGCTGTACAAAGGTCGCTTTATCTCGTTGACCTTCAATCCTTTGTACAACAGATATATGAGCACCAGGGTCACAGTTCAAGTGCTGTGTTGTAAGGAAGTATGTTCCAATTTAAAGCACCCAGCAGGAAAAAATCACTCAGGGGAAAAAAAGGTGTATCAAATGACGACCTCAGAACAACAAAAAAAACTCCCTCTGGCACAAAGGACGAAAAGTATTGATTGTGTATGTTGAAGCAGTTGGATTTATGTCTTAAAAACCTTTTTTTTTTTAAAGTAAAAGTCAACAAAATACGTGCATCAAGTTTATATATATATATATAAAAAAAATATACCCAAAGGCATGTCTCTTCTATCTAGTTTCTAAGAGGCATGTCTTTGGGTCTTGGACAGAAAACTGAGGGTGGAAAAAGGTCAAATCTTTGGGATAAAAAGAAAGTTGTACCGATAATCTCGGTAATGATTCCAGTCTTTATTCCACAATGTGCTGAATGAATCTGTGCTGGTAGACGAGTTCTTAGTGACACTGGTATGAAAAGCGCTGAGTGCTCAGCAACATTCTCTTACCAGAGAGAAATACTTATTGAACCAGCCTGAAAATGCCTGTGATTGATATAAATATACAATCCCAAGACCTTTTTGTACAAACAATACGAGTACAGAAAAAAATGTAACTGCATGAAATATTCCAAGTAAAATTGAATGGATTGAAATGGGAAAAAACACATTATCCAGATTGAAGAATCATGTTGAACTCAGTTCTTTGTCTTATTAAAAAGACGTAGATGATGTTTTATAAAACCAACACGTGTCTTAATAATTTACTGTTAGATTTTGTCAAAGCGGTCCATTATCTCTGTGATAATGGAGCTGTGAAAAAGCGTTCTAATCATTTCTGATATGTTTCTGCATTCAATTGAATTATAATATTATTAGATTTCCCAGACTCATTTAGGTCATGTTGTGGATGGAGTTGGATTTTTTTTCTATCCCTAGAAAAGTAGTTTTAAAAGAAATGATATTTTTGTTTCAATCAGTCTTCTGTGGCGGAATAATGAGACAAAACAAAATATGTTGAATGTCGCTCTTTCCTTTACACTTAACTTAATAATGCACAAATACGTTCCTGTGAAAACCCATTTGAAATCAGGCATTAATGTGAACTAATTGAAATACATTAGTTTGGACAGCAGAGGCATAATTTGTATTATCTCATTAACGACACTGAAATACCAGGACTAAAATAAAGGCGATGCTCCACAGTTTCGCCCTCTGTTACCGTTACAATGAGAGACACATTTCAACAGATGCAAAACTACGACTCTTCTAGCAGTGATACGAGACATGTTACAACTACAAAACCCTACACAATCCCCAAATAGAAAATGACTAACCATAAAAACTAGTCTGTAGTGTTACCACGTGAAAAAATATATGGCGATAGAAACTCTTAAATAGCCCTTCACCTTCTGAAAACATGTAATTATACCCAAAATATCCTTGATTTGCATAGTGTCCCGTGTCATTAGACCTTTTTTTTACTTTCAATATGTACATCACAAAGCATTACTAAAATAAGGCAGATATAATAAAGCGAGGACAATTCTGGTTCAGGAGGTCCGGTCCGGAGAAGATATGGAGCCCATTGATGAGAGAAACTAGTACATTGTAGAAAAACCGCTTCACCCAAAGGCTGATTGAGAACGCGCCGTAAAACGACTCCTGAGGTATGAATGAAAACAAATCTAACACACACAAATGCGTGGAAACACCAAAGTTCAAAAACAAAAACGAGGTTTACATAAGAAGTTCTGATGTGCGATGATGTCGTCGACGCCGCTGCCAGCTGACTACAGCGTTGCATTTTAGTTCTGTTAACTCAAAGGCCCCCTGAAAGCAGCACGGGCTCCACGTGGGGCTCAGATATGGTTTCTAATTCTACAGCAAAGAGGCAACAGCTCTCTGAACCAGAGTATTGAGCAGATTGTTCAGATAAGGGCTTGATGGGATTGATTGAATCTTTGGTTGGTGGACCTGAAGCTTTCTCCATCGAAAGTTTGCTGCCTCCTTCTTGGCTCTCTAAGAGAACTTTAAAGGACTAGAAAGATTAAATAAAAAGTATTAAAATTGATTATCTTTGCTTGGTATTTTTTTTTATATAGTTGTATACATTACAATTTTCTCATTATATATTGCCTGAAAAAGTCCAGAAATGCATTGCTTGAAAAAAAAAAAAATCTATGAGTCTCTCGGGGTTAAACTGGTGTCTGCTGGGACGCGATCACTCTTCCATAGGAATATACGATAAGACGGAGTGCTCTTGTGCAATAGCAGCCAGCTCCTTGAGGAACTCCGTGAAGAGGACGGTGCCGAAGACTTCTGTCCGGTCCAGAGAGATGGCTTTGTGTTTGGGTGGCGGCGAGCTCTTCAGCGTGCCTCGCGCCTCGCCGTGGGTGGAGCTTCTGCTTTCGCCTGAGAACGTGAAGATTTAATAAGAAACAACGACAAATAGGGAGAAAAAGAAATCAATGTAGAGGCATTTTGTGCCATGGATGACTTTAAAACATTTTAAAAACATATTCCTGTTAATAATTTCTCCATATATAAAGCATTTCAGCCTGAAAAGTATTCATTTTTTAAAGCAAAAAACATGTAGAAGAAAAGTATCAAAAGTAAAGTAAAAACAGTATCCATCTTAACCTACTTAGAAATTCCCCTCAGGGAAGATTCAGGCTCTTAAATTTGTTTTTTGTAGCTTATAAAAAACCCAAGAACCGAGTTCAAAAACCGCCGCGACACTCCAGCGTTGAGCGGAGACCGTTTCTCAGCTGCTGCATCAGTTAAGAAAATCAAGTGGAATTTATTATGGCTCCCATCAGACACCACCGAAAATGAATGCAGATGTTTTTTTTTTGTTTTTTTTAACTCAACCCATTTTTTGACGGCACATTTTTGCGATCGAGGAACTCAATGACAGTGCAGAGGTTTTTTTTTTCTTCTCATCAAAAGCGGAAAACAATAACCAAGTCTTATACATAGTTTGTTCCCTAATAAACAGTTAGAGTGTAAAAATGACTTTATGGTTCTTCCCATTTCAGAGAGTTGGAGTAAAACCTGCATGGATTTCAGAGAATGTTTTAAATACTTCATTTTTTGTGCATAACTCTGTTATAGATACTGTTTTAGATTGTGAGTAAACTATCCACAGCTAGCATAGAAAACAAATATTGTGGGTGTATCATCACCTGCAGCTACAAAGGACGTCTCCCTGGCCAGCAGCCAGTGCTGTGCGGCGGTGATCAGCTCTGGGAAGTCTTTCCTGCTGGCAGCCTGCTCCTCTATCTGGTTCTTCACCACGGCCAGAACCTGAAGTGAAGAAAAAACAAAACAAGAGGATTACTGTGCATTCACATCTGCACCGTTTAAACTGATGACATTAAAGCAAAACAATCAAATACATCCTTTTGGGGCCACAGTTGTCATGGCGACTGACTCGCCAGATGTTGACTTTAGGAGCTGGTGCTGCTTGCTACTTTCATTGGAAGAGTCGGCAACGCAGAGTTTTTCGAGTTTTTTTATCCTGCAGTTTTGTTTTTTCCGATGTTACCTCCCCAAGCTTTAATTAAAACATGCTGCCTGATCGCAATCTGTTGTTCAGCGGGGAGAAACAAGCAAACAAACAATTTCATTTTACCGAGGAGCAGCTGCAGAACTGCACCCGGATTACAAAAGTCAAATCTCCCCTTCGAAAGGCCGACATCTTGCAGCAATGCAACCAAACCCAAACCCTCGCCTTCATTCGATTTGCCTCGAGGCAAACGAAGGGAGATAAAAGCCTCACTCCTGGCCGCTGTTTTACCTGGTAAAGGGAGCGAACGGTGGGCTGAAACACCAAGTTTGTGTTGAGGAGGAAGGAGCGCAGGAGGGGCTGAGGGTACGCCGCCAACTGGGCCAGGATGCCCGTCAACAGCAGGTTGACGTGGAGCGAGTTGCTCTGCATGTTCTCCAGGCGAGACAGTAGCACACTGACGAATGGACCTGCGGGAAAAACAGTCGCAGGCAGCATTTGAAATTGTCTGGGGTTTTTTTTGGGGGGGGGGGGGGGGTTCCGAGACCGACTGCTGCCCGTGGCTTACCGGTAAAAGGCACCGACTGCTTTCTCGCCGCACTTCCGCCGACGAATCTGGCCCCAAATGGTGAATGCACTTTCTCCGGCTCCGGTGTCTCGGCAGAGAAAGAGGTGAAGTCCATCTCCTCCTCGTCCTCCTCCGCGGGTGTGACCGGCTTCTTTGGCTCTCCGTCAGCTCTGACCGCTTTTCCCCCGGTTTTAGTGTCCAACGCACGAATGAGCTCCTCATACTGAGCCAAAAGGTCGTCGCCCGACTCGCCGCCCGCGCTGTTTTGGGGGTGGGAATTACATTCCGTCTCACCTTTGGACTTTGCGTCCAAGGGGTCTTTATCCGCCATCGCGGAGGGTGGGAGTGTTAAACTGAGTCCGTTTTGCAGGCGGACCTCCGCTGCCCCCGGATGGGTCCGTTCACCGCCTTCGGCATCTCTGGTGTCCTTCTTGGCGACGAGATCGTACACCATGACGTCGTCCAGGAACTCGTTTTCCTCGATGTACGCGCCTTGCACGAGCATGGTGGCCGTCTTCCTCATCTCCTGGATGTGCGCCGGGGGCTCGTCGGGAGGCCGCCGCGGACGTTCAGCCTCCGCGGGGGCGCCGCCGGTCTGCACCGGGCACGCGTCGTAGCTGTCGTCCCACTCCAGCTCCTGCTGGCCGACGGAGGAGGGCTCCGCCCTGAGCGAAGGAGTGCAGGGCCGAGGCGGCGGCGGCGGTTGTGGAACGCGCTTGACGGCCGCCTGGTTCTGCCGACCCTTCAGGCCGGGCTCCTCCAGGACGCCGGGTTGGTACTTCTCGGGGGGCGGGTCCTCGCCGTCGTACGGAGCCGACCAAACCCGGCAGGCCTGCAAGCAGCTGCCGATGCTCTGACGGGCGTCGTAGAGGTAATGAAGATAACTGACGTCAAGGAAGAGTTCTGAGCCGATGGTGCAGGAGTGGCCCGTGCCGTCGTCGTCCTCCGAGAACTTCTCCATTTCCTCTGGAAGAGGAAGAAGAAATGTGAAATGTGGATAAAAGCCGGCGTGCAGCGCGGCGTTCGTGCGGAGCAGAACTAATGAGGTTGACATGTAGCTACAGGCGGCAAAGTGATGTAACACAGCGAAAGGCAGGAGATCTCTCTATTTGATGGAATACTCATGAACATCTTTTTCATGTCCCAGAAAAATACACATCAACACTTGGGCCTGTACTGAAAAACAGAACATGTAATGTTACTAAATTACACTATTATTATTATTATTATTGAGTTTTAGCCCTATTACGGCTTTCCTCCTTCCGTCCTTCTGATTTTGTACACATGCCACTATTACTAATAACTAACTAGTAACATGCACTCAAATGTGGTTCTGAATAGTAAAGATGCGCCAAAGGAATTTGCTTTGCGGCAGATTTCAAAAGGAACAAAAACAAAGAAAACGTTCATAAAAGCTGATCCTTAAAGCTGCTGAAATGCGGTCTTTCATTTGGGCTTTTCTGTAACACGTACAGTACTTTAAGAAATTAAAAGTATTCATTTGGGTCAAAGTATTAAAGGCTTTACACTAGACAACCTCACCCTCTCACCCAGCTGATAGCAGGAGCTTAATCTCAACCGTCAACGGGTTAAAGGGCAACACATGTCACCCTGCTAACTTTTGCAATTCAGCTAGTTCTTTGTCCATAATGTACACGTTAAAACTTGCATTTGCTCTTTTGGTTCAACCTTCATAATCTCGTCTCATTGGACAGAAATGTCTCCATGTTCCCGGAAAGTGAGCAGGTCTCCAATGATTCCAATGTTATAATAACCCATCGCCATTATGTCCAAAGCAAAATGAGAATGAAGCCCTCACAGACCCAGATTGGTCTTTTAATGTCCCGTACTTCTTACCCGAGGCGCTGGTGCTGTTGGGAGTCTTTGAACCTTTGGAGAACAGGATGGATTCCAGCTGTCGGAGAGGCGGGGGGCTGTGATCGGGAGAGCAGCAGGACGGCGTTAATGCCAGGATCTTGGCCGCTGACACAGAGTAGCAGTCCCTCTCGCCGACAACGCGCCTCTGACTCAACATCATGTGATTACAGGGGATCAGGTACCTGGGGAGGCAAAAGGGAACAGATCCTGTTAGGAAAACCAGCGCAAGCACAAAGGGGTTCGGCGGGGGGGGGGCATATGGAAACACAAATCTGCACGGTGGGAAGTACAAGGAAAAAGCTCAGAATTTCTTAAACCCATTAGACGTAGCACGCAAGTGGCATACAGTAAGCATGTGTGTGTGTGTGTGTGTGTGCGCGCGCCACTCACCTCAACACGAGCTGCAGCATCACATCTTCGCAGTATAAGCCAATGAGAGTGCGGAAAAGGGCCAGAGACACGGTGCCCAGCTGCAGAGTTGAAACACACGACAACAACTATGACAATAATAACCAAGAAACAGTAAATATTTGCAATGATTAGCTAAAAGAAAGTTGAGGATCGAGAGACTTTTTTGGAGTTGTTAAACTTAAAAGCGAAGTTTAATTTGGCTCGAGTCAAAATGTTTGAAAATCAAACATGATCAGATCTTCCGCTGAGGTGCAGGTGAGCCGAAGCCGACTGTTAGCAAACACTGGAGGAAAAGAACCACTACTGGTTCATGTTTATGGATCTCATAATAGAGGATTGCTTCAAAACAAAAATATCAATTGTTTCAGTAGCTGGATGATATCGCTGAGCGTCACCATGGCAACATTCTGCCAGCTTTGGGGCTTACATTTGGAGTTTCAAAATGGGTCCAAAATGGCCTTTGGGGTTGTTTTCCGGAATAATTAAAACATGAGTCACGCGGTGTGTGGTTGCGTGACTAAACACGCACACAGGTGCTGTCGGCAGACCGGCAGGTTCGCTGCCTACCTGGAACGGCGTGTTGATGCGGCTGACCAGAGTGTCTAAAATGTGGACGCTCTCATGTCGGTGCAGCAGGATAAAAGAGAGGAAAGTCTGCAGCAGCGCCGGCTCAGACACGGTCCTGAGGAAGAGGTCGAGGTATGCTGTGGTGGTCATCACTTCTTCCAGGGTGAACTTCACAGAGGAACAAGTCATTAGTCAGAAGTGCAGATTAAGAGATTCCAGAGAAGAATCTATTGAATGTGTCTACAGACTAAATCACGGTAATAGTATGTTTGTTTTTTGAGTATACAAAACAGCAAATCACTTATTATGATATTGATTTGAAAAGATAAAAGCAAATAGAACATTAACAGTATTCATTAGATTAGGACATTTCCTGAATAATTTATTTTGAAGTGTGTCACATCATTTTCCACCTCTTCCGCTATTTTGTCACCGTTAAATACCAGCCACAATAATATGTTTAGGCACTAAGAGGCATTATTGCACCGTGGTCCCAATTAAGCCAAACATGGAGACGAAGAGGAGAAGGACGAAGAATACCAACCTTGTGGAGAGCAGGTGCTAGGACAGGCACGAGGAACCCCTTGTAGATGTAGCTAACCAGCTGGTCTCTGATATCCGGGTGGGCCACCTGGGAACAGTCGATTACAGTACATTTAGTCAAGACTGCAGTCAAGCAGAAGGTTGGCGCCATTTACCACGTGTGGATAAAACCTGTGCAACCGTGTCGACGTTTAGTGTGTCAGAGAGCCTTGTGTCTGTGTGTGTGTGTGTGTGTGTGTGTGTGTGTGTGTCTGTGCGCTTGCAGCATCGTGAGCCATCACGTTTTCACCTGAATCACAGCGTTGCAGAACTCCAGCGAGTTGAGGAACTGGACGAGGGACGGCATTTGGAGCCAGTCCTGTTTGTGCAGGCAGTGCCATTCTGCACTGGGAACCTCCAGCTTGGCGGGCAGGGACGAGTACAGGCCGCTCAGCCCTGTGGCCAGAACCTGGAGAGGGAGGGAGAGACACGCGGTCAAATGAAATGTTTCCGAGTTCCACATTAGGTCAATACCTGCTTTGGGATTATTACAGATTATCGGTCAGTTTAATTGCATGTCAAAGCTTTAATTAATCTGTAAAAATGTGAAAAGTGTCAATTCTGGTGATCTTTTGACTTCACATGCCTCATTTAGGTGAATCATTCTTGATGACTATTGGATGTGATTTAGTTTGGATCTCCCACAGGATGATGTACCTTTTCTGTAAATATAGTCATCAAGAAAAGATAGCGTTTTTGGTTTAAATATCTGCTAAAAGCTCTGCTAAAATTAAAAAAAAATATTAACATTCCTTTAGTGCTTATTAGCCCATCGTTAGCATTAGCATGCTGGCATTGCTATTGTGTGCCGACACTTTTCTAAATAAAAAGAAACACTAAAGTTGAATGGAAAATTATTTTAAAGAGAATATTGTCAAAAGAAACAACAGATTTCGAAACACTTAATAAAAAATAATGTCTATAATGCAGCAGCCTTTAGGACATATCAGCCAGCATGCTCCTCCTCCAGTTTAGCTCTATGAATATTTATGGAGCAGCAGTTTTATTGCCTATGATTTCCATTTCAAGATCAACACGGTGTGATAATTAGATCACTAATTAATTCCTTGATGTCAGCCGACCTTCCATGTAACAAACGGTCAGTATCAACGTGATTTCTGTCCTTTCTTAGGAGGTGTTATTTCAAGTATTTACTGGGCAGGATTTCAGAAACGAACAGTCTATAGCAGAGTAATTAAACTGTAAAATGATACATCATCAGTGTTGCATGGATGTATACATCCTCTGTAGGATTATCCTTGTTGCCTGCCAGTGGAACCAATTAAATTCAGGCTGCACTTGTTAAACTGGCATCACATCAAAAGCAATTTCTCATTGCGATGTTTGCAGCTTTGGGTAAATGGCATTATTATCACGGGATTATCTTGCAACCGTGCCTTAATCTTATGAATGCCAGACATTTGTAACACTCGATGAGAGGGTTTAACCTCCCTTCAAATCGCTTCATGAATTCATCTGCAAATTCTTTGCCTGAATATTTTTTTTTTGCCAGCGCCGAAGGTCACCGCAGTCCGGGATTTTTTGATAAGAAATAATGAATGTGAACGATTCCTCATACGTAAAGGTTAAGTCAATTAGGAAAATCGAAAACCCGAGCGGCTCAATCTGAGGAGATTTACATGTACTAAAACCCGCCAGGTGAATGAGAGCGAGATTAAAAAAAAAAAGGTAAAAGATATCCGTGGGAGGGACTAACCGGACAGAAGTAGGTGTTCTGTGAGACGTGTTTGGCCACTCGCTCGTTCTCAGCAGACAGCGACATGATGAGCAGCAGCGCGTCCCTGGCTTGCTGGCCCACCGTGCCCTCCCTGTGGATGAAGGGGATGAGCAGGGAGAAGATGAGGAAGTTGGTGGCTCCCTGATCCTCGCTGGTGTGGAAAAACAGCTCCAGGATCGAGGGGTCCTTCGCCAGAACGCAGCACAGCAGGTTGAGCAGCAGCACCAACTGGGCTTCCACCTGCGGCGCCGCGGCGCCCGAGCAGGACGACAGCAGCATCATGAGCGGCCGCAGGATGGGCTTGTGGTGCAGCAGGGGCTGGCGGGCCTGACCCACCAGCATCTCGTACATCTTGAGCTGCTCCAGTTTCATGTCGTCCGTGAACTCCCGGCGGAGGCTCCACACGAAGAGACGCTCCATCACGTTCTCCATCACCACAAACTCCAGGATGGGGCCCATGGCGCCGACCTGACCGCTCTCCTCCTCCATCAGGAGGAACAGCATGTGCTCCACGTAGTTCTGCACGGCGCTCGCCTCGTCTCCGGGGATGGGGCCGAAACGAGGGGCCCCGCTCGCGCCGGAGCTGAGGTTGATGACACTGAGGGAGGACAGGGCGGAGCTGCTGCGCAGGGGGTCATGCTTTTCTAGGATCTTCACCACCTAAAATTAGAGACAAGAGGAATATTGCTAACCACAAACTGTTGGATTTTCATACAAGGAGAGCAGAACACCTTGCTAATTTGACCTTTATATTGGAGACTTAAAAAAAAAAAGGGACAAATCTTTATTGGTTGACTATCCAAATAATTTCAACACTGATGTTGACAGAAAGTCAATCGACTGAATCCAAGAAGGAAGCAAATTGATCGCTCGGCTGTGCAAAATGCACAGAATCACTTTCCTTTCATGAAGTATTACCACTCACATATTCAAAGCATACATACTGTATGAAGAAAAATATGGTACAAGTTAGTGTCTTCTTTTAATAGCAGATTCAACATCGTATTCGTATGGAGGCCGTGCTTACGGCATATTTAATTCATAAGGATATGATGCAGGTAAAACCGTCCCCTGCTTCCTGACAGGTTAATTAACAACTATAATGGGGTGTAAACAGAGCAGCCGCACAGTACAGATACACTCAGTTTGGTAGCACACGGTGAAACGGTCCTTTGTGTATCCAGTCCCTCCCTTGTGTGTCGGCTGCGTAGAAACCAGAGTCACAATAATGGGTCCAGTGTCCCCGGCCTGACACTGCTGCCATGACAATAACTGGTTGTGCACAAGTGGGCTGGGCACGGCCGATGGAAACAAGAGAACGGAGTTTGTAATCTCAGCCTGAGCCCAACGGGGCCAGTGGGAACAGCCCAGTTCAAGGAATATTTGTTTTTACTGGACATGCGGAGGAGTCGGTTTATAAATGACCCTACAAACGGGAGTTGAAGACAAGGTCGGAAATGTGCACACAAGCCTGGAAGCATTTTGATCGCCTCTCCACATGGAGACGCCTGAGCTGGCAGCAAGTTTCTACCTGTGCTGACAGCACAAAAAAGTGCAAACAGCTGTAACCACTAGCGAGAGCAGTGGTGCACGCTCTGTCGGCGTATAAAAGGCATTGAGAGGCAATAGATTTACTGTGAATTCAGCATGGAGAACCTTCAAGGTGTTTTAACCTATGATGCGTAGAATATGTGTACCTGGTTTGGGATATTACCTTCAAAATAATAGCGGTTTTAAAAAAAAGGCTAGGATTGAACTATTCAAATTTAATCCCGACAGGCCACAACCAGCATAATGAAATTGAAAGAGTAGTATTTACTCCGTGCTCATTACCACCAGAGTGGTTCTGTTGAGCCCGTTCTGCTTCAGTGGAGCCTTGCAGACTTGTACTGAGTTTCCGGGTGTAAAGATGTCAAACTTCTCCGAATTCCGAAAATAGTAAAATGTTTTGTTTTCAACCCTAACCTGCACTTTAAAATATACTTATATATAACAAATATAACAAAAAGAGATCACTCTTAAATTTGCTGATGCAGGTTTCTTTCCTTCTAGCTGCTAGAGTTCTAAAATGTTTTTCAGAAATACAGTACAGGTCCAGGTGAGTGTTTTGACTCATTACCTATGAATTATTAATACAAGATGACATATGCAGTGTCAGATTCAGGCAGTGCTCTGAATTACCAATTTTGAAAAAGGTGCCAACACTGCAAAAGGTAATAACAAATATTGATCTTAAAGTTGCAAAGAAACAACTGAATAACAAAAAAGTTTTCACCTTATATATGTGCTGTTATTCCACTTAAGCAATGCAAAAAAAGTCTTTAGTTATCAGAACTCTGTCATCTGAACACGTTGTTGAATGCACACTGCATGGCGGTGTTTCCACATGGAACGGTGCAGGCCACTAAACAGAAACACACTGGGTTAAAAAGACGTCACGTGACATCGGCCCCGATTGGAAGGAGTCAGGGCAACAGAACGATCCCTTTGCATGTCACAACAAACACAATGAGCTCAGCGAGGCCTGCAGGGCGGCAGATAAGACGCGGCAAGTGAACATAAACCTAATCTGCCTGTAAAACACGCAGCGCTTCTGACAGAGCGACAAGGCCCATGCTACTTGCGACACGTTACTCGCATTTTAAGGTTTTTCCGAACTGAAACCAAAGTCAAGAGCACTCTTATCGCTCCGCTGATTAGTGCAGCGTGGAAACGAGACTCTGCAGGAGAGAAATTGTGCTGCCGATTTGCCTAAAGCTAAACAAGCTTTAATCTGAACAGGGAGTTCTCATTTTATCTGTTGCAGTGTCAGGACTAGTGAAGAAATGTGTGTATCTGTAAACGTATAGACAAAATATACAGCCCTCCGGAGGGGCTTTATGACCGAGTAAAGAATCAGCTCCGAGCCTGCAAAAGTTACCCACTATCCACCACAGGTTGAATTTCAATTGTTCTACATGAATCGGAATCCACCGACCAAAATAACTTCATCCATAATATGGATAAATCGAAAATTTGCTTACTGGATCATTTTTACTTTTGCGCTTAAAATCATACCGTAAAAGGTTCATTCTCAGTGTTTACGGAATGTTTTTAGTTTCAACAGCACACCATTGATAGTTGTGACAATACAAGATTATGTCCTTATCTGTACATAAACTTTCCTCCCTCAGCTGAAATCAAAAGCAGCCTTCTGCTGCACAAATCCTTCTTCACTTCTACCTCACAGACAGCAGAAACTGACTCCACAGCTTTTTGATGGTGGGGGGGTCGAGTGTCTCAGACCTCTCAGATGTGTCCCTGTTCACCTCTGTGGGTCCTGGCAGCCCGCGAGGCCCCTACTACTCCTCCCCCCACACATTGTGTGATTTAATGCAGATGGGTAGACTCTAAAAGTTCTACTAGGCGGACGGATGGTGAGAGGAACAGATTGATTGATTTAGTGCGGGGGACGTTTACCTGAGACCAGTGGTTCCTGAACACAATCATGCAGGTCTCTGGATCCACCCCTTTTAAGACCAGAGCCTGCCCATCGGGGTTTCCGTTGGCAACCATGGAGGCCATCACGGTGACCGGGGTCGTACGTGGGTTAAACCATGTCATAGGCGGAAGGAGGACATTCCTGACAGCTTACTGGTGCAACCATAACCACGGGCGGTAGCATATTCACAGGGGCCCTGAGGAAAAAGAACGAACACACACACACACACACAAGCAGATGTGATTAGACACCAGGCCACAGTGAGTTGATTCATAAAACAGCAGCACAGATGCACTGATATGTCTGGAGGTTGTAGTGCATTTTTTGTGTGGCTAGACGGCAGCTATGGCAGGTATGCAGGAGAACAATAACAAGGCCAAGTCAGATGACCGGAGGAGGAACGCGTCCCACTCGGCTTTGGCCGCGCGCGCTGTACTTTGGGACGGAGATGTCAAATTGTTTTTGGACTACGCAAGACGCCCGTGGTGGATTCCTGCGGGCCCCCTGACATCGCCCTCAGTGCAGAAACATTTTTGACATTGGAAGGCGAAGGACGACTGGGTGTGAACATCTCTGGCGGAATGAGGCGAGTTAGAGGTGGGAAGAGTCGACATGTGTAGACGTGAGGTTCTCTATTAAATATACATTATTTTAGTAGGAAAAAGACAGATGGCGGCTGCGCAGATCAGTTCCAACACTCACATTGGCACTGTGGAAATTTAGAAGAAAAAAAAAAACAGTTTTCTGTTAAACTGCCACATGTTTCCGTAAACACACCTGCACTTCACGCTTAGAAAGTGAATGTTTGCATTGACTATGAGCAGAACTACAAATGATATCACATGAATATAAAAATCGCAGCCCACGTTTCTTCAGCTAAATGCCAACGTCAACATGCCTAACTACTAACTGACAAAGACACCGTCTACCTCGAGGTGGCGCTGGAGAGCCACAGCTTGATCAGTAGGCTTCATCCTCAGGGGATCACGAATGTCCAAGCGGAATTTAATCTAAATCCACCGAACAGATTTTAAATTCTGGATCGTACCAACATCACCGGAGCCGAGCCGCCAGCATTGCCGTTGAGGACTCCGAACACCAACACTACGTCAGTCAAACACTCGCACATCACACCACAGGGGGTCAGCCTTAAAACACAGCGCAGCTGCACGCCACAACAGCCGAGCCCGGGCCTCTCGCTCCGGACAATAAATTTACCTCCCAACCAATCGCAGCTAAACCCCGCCTTTTGGATCCACTTTGGTAGAAACATTGAGGCCCACAGTGAAACTTTCACCATCTGTTTTCAGTTAGAAGAGAGGTGGTTGGATTGTGGAGAAGGAATGTAAAAGCTGCTTGGCCAGCACGTCTGTGTGTGTGTGTGTGTGTGTGTGTGTGTGTGTGTGTGTGTGTGTGTGTGTGTGTGTGTGTGTGCGCGCGCATTTGTTTGTTTGAGTTTCTTACCTTTGCTGAGCCATCGTCAAAAGGGACTCGTCCTGCGCACACGAGACCTCATTCTCGTCCTGGTGTCACAAAACAAAGAGGGAAAATGAAGATATGGCCGAGAGGAGCACAGAGCGAGAGGCAAGGCATGGCGGGAAGTGAGCAAGCTTCTCCAGAACCCTTCTTGGACAGAGATGGACAGGGAGGAGGTTACAAGGGGGGAGCTAAAAACAAAAAAAATGTAAAAAGGAGGAGAGAAAGTGTATGGAAAAGGAGGAGGGGCAAGAAAAATGACAGCAACATTGTTCCCAGAAATATAAAAGTTCAGAATGAACCGATTGTGTTGCAATATTATGCCAGATTTTAACATCAAAACCTCCTGATCCGTCCTCCGTGGGCGAATAACCACATTGTCTCTTCCAATTAGCGTTCCAGCAAACCAACTTCCACTCACTGCAGCAATTACACCGAGCCATCGGGGGACATCAAGGGCCGCAAAAAAGTGGTTTTGTTTGGCCGAATGACCTGAAAACGTTTGCACGACATCACACAGAACAATCGACTCGTTGCACTCGGTGGGCAGATTCAAAAAGCTCTGCACCCCGCCCATCGAAGTGTGGGCTTTCTTGGAAAACATGCAATCTTTTCAAAAAAGTGTGACGTGGTGTAAACAGAGAGGGAGACAGATGGAGATGTGTGTGTCGGAAGGCGTGTGTGTGAGTATGTTAAAAAAGGAGAGGCGGGTTTTGCGCCTCTCGATGGACTCACACTTTTTCTGCGAGCAGCTCAGAATAAAAGCCGCCGATTTAATGTAACTCACAGGGACTCACTGTTCTTTTTGGCAAACGTACGTGGAGTTTTAAGTTTGTCTTCTTGCTCCGGACACTTTGACGGATCAGCAACTCTGACTTTGTGTTTAGAGACAGACCCGCTCCACTAACTCCACTGGGGCAGCCTTTTGTTAGGATGAAATATTGCAGCTATTCTGTGTAACTGATAACCTCATTCTGTATGTCAGCAGTGGAAAACTGATATTGAGAACTATAAACCATCATGTTCTGTTTCTCTTTTTTCTGTCCTGTTGTCATTTTTGTTCTTATTGCTTTTGCGGGGTAGTCGGTGTGGCTCGCTCGTGTTTTATTGGTTATTAATGGACTTTTGTAGAACGCTTCCCTTTGAAATAAAAAAAGACGACAAGCCAGACCAACAGGACTGATATTGTCTTACTGCATTTACATTTGCTGAGAAGAATTGCAGAACGGAATTATGTTTCAGGTAATAACTGATTAAGTGTTTGTTTTTTTGCAATTTTGGCCCTTTTAACATAATAATATTTGTGTAACCATTTTATAGGGCGACGGTGGCCCATGGAGTAGAGAGGGTGCGCTGGGAACCGCAAAAGTTGGCGGTTTGAACTCTGGCTGAACATGTCCCATGTTTAAGTGTCCCTGAGCAAGACACCCAACTCCTAATTGGTCCCCGGGCAAAAATGCAAAACCATTAACAATGCAATGCAAGTCGCTTTGGATAAACGCATCAGCTAAATGACATGTAATATGTACAAAAAGAATTAAAGACTAATATTACCCTCCAAAAACTGTTTGGGCCAAAGTCACTGGTAGAGAACACAGATAAACAACTACAGATAAACAACAACTAGTTTAAATGAATGAGCCATAATCTGTAATAATATAATAATAATAATAATATTTTAGCAAGCAAATACGTACAACAATCATAACTTACGTCAACATACGTCTTGACTTTTGTCCTGATTTGCTGCAGCGCTGTACATCAACAGCCTTGTCAGACTGTTTGCAAGCTTAGCTTGGCTTAATCATCAGTGATTACCGAACACTTCAACTGACTTTCCTCCCCTAAAAAATGCTCCATAAAAGGTACAGTTCATTTGGGCCAAAAAGGCAAAGACTTGGATTTAGCAAGTCCGCATACCACAGCCGGGGCAGAGTATTGGCATCTCACAAAAGATAAAAGATGCTTTACGACCAATCCGGCAGAGGGCCTGCTGATGAAAACCATGACCCACATGGTGCTCCCATTTACAGTAGCTGCTCTCATGTTGCCACATAGAACCCACAGTTACCCAGAAGCCACTGCTCCACTTGCTCAAAATAACCTGAAATACAGTAGAGACAGAAATGGGACAAAACGGAGCACACGCTAAAATATAGGTTATTAAAAATACATTGTGTGTGCATGTGCGAGTCGGTTGTTGAAGACCTGAACGTTGACGTGAGCGTGGGGCGGCGCCCGGCTGCGTGTTTGTCTGTTTACAGCCTCAAACTGCCGGCACAGCCGTCTCATTGAGACTCAAGACTCCGCCGGATTCTCCCAACTTCCAATTATCCCAATTACGGCAATTTGGTAATTACACGGGTTCGTCGCTTCCACGTCTCCGCAGCCAGAGACACGACCGTATGAATCCGGGCCACGGCGTTAATTCCCTCGGTGCAAGGGGAGTAAAAAAGACAAGTTTGTGTCCAACGTGATTGGACATTTGGACATCACACAATGTCGGTCTGTTTAATTCAGTAAGAATTCACAAATTCTTTCCTAAACATAAATGTGTGTTTTTTTATTCTTAGCTGTCAGGTTGTGAAGGTCTTTAAAGCTCACACCAACAGTTAGAAACATGTCTTTTTACGGCTATTTTTTGTTTTTTAAAGTACCGGTTGATGCCTCCGTTTATTCTTGTCGGTCTTAGCTGGTCTTAACAGACCAAAAAGTTGTTTTTTGGCTCATCCTTATGAAAAAGAGACTAGATAAGCCAGGAATTGACACAAAATGTATTTTTATCATGGAGCTGACTTGCCTTTCCAAATGTTCAAGTCATTATTTACTTTCAGTACACATATACAGCTGGAAACGATGACTGGTTTCATGAGTGATGCATCAAACAGAGCAATAGGCTCTCGTCTGCTCACTCCCATGGTAAACATGATGACAAAGTGACTGTTGGTGTTGCAACCTCATGCTTTTGCAAAGAAACGAAAGATGAGATAATAGTCCACTCAAAGGAAGAATAAAACAGGAGATAAATGCTCGCCTCGGGGGGTTTTGTTGGTTTTTCCTGATCTGGTTTCGGGTATTGTCAGCTTTCTGACGACTAAGGTTTTCATACACACACCCAGGCGTCGTCTTGATAAAAAGCTTAATGGCCGGACGCACCCTTTACTCAGAATAAAGATCCTATTTCTGGCTAAACAGGAATTTCAACCTCATTTCTAGCGAGTTGTATTAGAGGGTAGATATGCAATGAGATGTTTGGTCCAAGCCGAGGCGTTTTGAAGCTGGAAGCTCCAGCAGACAGAAGAAAAGTCAGACTTTTACGAGTTGTACCAGCCTTATTACATAATTGACAGTGGTGAGGTATAGCCGCCATGGCAACGCAGTGAAAGACAGGCCCATTAAAGTGATAGTGGCGAATGAAATATTTAAAGAGCTTCACAGATAAAGCCAGTGCCTGCTCGAATAATTTATAGTGTTCGCTTTACTCATTCATTCAACACAATAAAGGCACATATGGATATCACGAACAACCACACACTTAATTGTAATTTTTATCCAAATAATGTTATTATTATTATTCTTTTATACGTGAAAAACAGTTTCACGTGAAGCTGATGTTATTAATATATATAATATAATATATTCCTGTGCACTTCCCTCCATGATACATAAATCATACTCTTCCACATATGAAGAACGTAGGTGCTGAGTAATGACTGTAAATAACTTATGAGCTAACAATGTGATTATGTAAGCAGCTCGTGCTGCATGTCTGAAGATCCTCACAAGCACATGAACCCTAACAGGGAGTTGGCTGTTATTCGTCTCCAAACATGCTGCTGGTACGCTCATACACAGGTGCTTGGACACACTGGGAGAAGGAGGGGGACGGGGGTATTACCAGCACCAAACACCCAGAGGGGGGAAATGCACCGTTGCAAAAACCGATCTCAATAAAGGAAAAGATAATCCCTTATTATTATTATCATAGCAACGTCCTCCCAACGTACCGAGGTTTACGTTTAATTGGTTCACTTAGTTTAGCGTGTCAGTGGCAAACATTAGCTAATTAGCATTGAGTACAAAGTAAAGCTTATGCCAATGGGAATGCAATTAGTTTTTTCAGGTATTAATTAAACAAAAAACATTTAGAAATGTTGATGGCGAAAGGTCAAAAATTATCGGAATCATAATAAATGCACAACAATCAGTCCTACCGTATGTGAACGTGTGTATCACATTTCTTGGCAACCCAGCCAACAGTTGTCAAAACATCTTACTCAAAGACACATGGCAGCCATTTGTTGAGATATTTCAGTCCGTACTGAAGAAGTGGAACAACCACCTCACTCATTGCGAACATGTGTTGTATGTGAGTATTCGTAAAATGTAAAACATCTCTTTGTACTAATTAGCCACCGAAAATGATGAGCAACCCAAATGTTACAAAGGCCTTCTGATACTTAATAGGTCATTACAAGTTTCTCACTTTCTGACCCTCGTAGGCTAAATGGCCGTGTCGTGTGACATCTTTCCTACTTTCATGTTAGAATTCAGCCCATCCCCGGGGCCACAGTAGGGGGGGGGTCTGTGTTTTGTGTGGGGAAAAATGGCACATCTCTGCTCCTGGTGCTTCCTCTATAGCTCGTTTGCATCACGTCTCACTCACTGATGATATAAAGAAGCCATGTTTGCATATGCAATGGAAGATACAGCATGTCTGCGAGGTTCAGACATGTTTATCAGAACTGACCACATGCTAATAGCAAACTGGATAAAAAGAGGCTCAAACATTGATACGCAGCTAACAAAAAACAGGTTTTCAAAGGAAATTCAGAACATCCCGGAAAAAAAAGCCTTCCGGGCTTATCTAGGTCAAATATTAGCTTTGGTGTGGATAATTAGGGGACCCATTTTCCTTCTTGCAAGGCAACTTCTACAGTATGATGACCTGTTTTTGTCACATATTTTCATGGCAAAGGAGATGCAAACTAATGTACTATGTGCTGGCGGCGCTCTGCAAAGACACTGGCCTTCTGGACTTTGTGCACAACAATGTTTTACTCTGTCAGGGACTAGCTGGTGCCGTCATTCCGGGCGGTTCAACCGGATTCTCCATTCTTTTCACACCAAATAGTTGCTCTTTTAAAAAGAAAAAACACAGAGTTAGCCGGAAAACTACTAGAGAATTCTGTCTAATCAATATACTTTAACTAGAAATTGCAATACCACAAAGCAAAGTATCTTCATCCTTCGCTCAGGAAAACATTGCTCAACCATATCTTTAAAAAGATAGTTGTTTTCTGCAGTGTTGTTGCTCTGAATTTCAAATGTAGCACAGTCATGCTCACTGTTTGTCTATGTGTTAATGCAAAGATGGGCTCTTTCCCTCGCAGCCGGAGCTGCATAGCGTCAACAAAGACATGCGGGCGATAAACCTGTTCAACTACCCTCTTAAAGACAGAAATAGGTTAAATAAAAAGCCGTTGAGAAATATTGCCCCCCCTCGCCGACCAGCTTTCATGCCGTCTGTGACTTCTCTGGGCAAGTGGGGGCCCAGAAGCAGGGATGGTGGGGGTAATCCCAAACACGGGGCAAAGCTGAGCTGGCTGTGTCTGTGGTGGGAAATGTTAACACACACACACACACACACACACACACACCTGCTGGTATGGTGACGGCAGCACCTGTTCCATCTGAATTTCCCACAGGTTCACAAAAAAACAAGAACTGTGCATTTTAAAACTTATTTTTCTCTTCTTTTTGTTTTAAGAAGCCTTCTGTTGACACTACAATCAGTGACATTGTGTTTTGTATAGAGGCCAGCAGGGTGAAGCACATCTTGTGACCTTAATCTAATCACATTACTACGGACTGTTATTCACAGTCCAGCGAGCTGTGATGGAGACACACACATCCTGTTTGTAAAAACAATATTTTTTGGGGATCAGTCCAAAAACTTGAAGTCAATAAAACAGCATTACCACTAAAGGAGATTTGAAACCAGAGACCCGATTATATATATACACACACACACATAATTGCAGCATGTGACAGACTATGTATACAACAGAGATCAGACAAAACGTCACTAAGATCTCGCTGTTGAACGATAAGTGCAACTTACAACTACAAAATCACAGTTACCTTCTTCACTGCGATCCTTAAAACCTCACAAGTTTACATTCTTTAAAATTGTTTTAAAACAACTTCCCCCTGAAAGAAGGACGGATCTGAGCGCAGACAGAAAGAGCAACTGCAGAGTACCCGACTCCAAACACCTGATGATGACGTGCCAAAAAGAACAAACAGTTTCAGGAGAAGATGGCTCAGTTGTTATCATGTGACCCAGGTACTCTGACCACAAAGCTGTTTGTTGGGGGAGGCAGGGAAACGGACCACCATCTCCATAGCAACTGTTCAAACTCCATCCGCGGGTTTTAAAAATGTACCTCTTTTATAATAAACGGCAATAACCTCATTCTAAAGATGCAATTTGTTGTGGTGTCAAAAAAGGTCTGACTAATTAATAGATGCATTAACGCTCGGTTCATCTATTAATATTATTAAACCTTTTCGATAATTGATTGATTCCTTTGAGAAAAGTCTCGTCCAAAGTGATCTTTACATTTCCACCCGTTCAAAAGATTGCGTTGGTAGTCTTGGGTAATTGTGAATGTGATATCATTTTTGGCCATATTAAAAAGACTATACGCAGCAGGTTTTTCACTGATAAGTCAATCCTTTAAATAGCAGCCTTAGCTTTCTGTAAACAAGCTTTGTATACCAACAACACAAACAGAAGAACAAGCAGAATTGATGCGGATCGCATAGATTTAGCACTTTTAAAAGCACTGACAGGATGTCCAGCTGTGGACACGGGGAGGCTGACGGGACAGGTGGGCTCTACAACATCTGTGTGCCAGTGGAGGATAAACAACAGCACGTGGATAGAATCAGCAATGACGCTCCTTGTGGAACCACGATACACGTCTTTAAGGGGAACGGTGAGCCGTGATTAGAGACAGGGCGGGTCCACGTTGTCTCCACGGCGAGGACGCGCACCCAGGTGGGGGAAGAAAACAAACTTACTTCCCTTCCGGAGGAGGCGAGGACTTTATAGTAAGTGGTCAAGTTTGTTTGAGTGGCAACTCTCCCCAGTTAACCCAACGGAGACCGCTGGTTTGCCCTGAAACCAAACCCGTCCGCCCACCCGCACGCGTCAATCACACACTCCGCAACTGTCAAGGGGGGAAAAAACGCGCACACGCACTCCGGCAACTGCGGCAATTGCCGTCGCGTCATGGTGGAAAACAAGTGATACACACCTACGGCTGTAAACAATAGTGTTCGTCTTTGTTTCTTACCGTCGGGTTGATCCACTCCGGATTTCTCCGCAGCGAAGAGCGCTCGAGCAGGTTTTGCCGCAAACACACAAAGCGGAGTTTCCGCTCAGGGAAGAAATGTACCGAGTCGCTCCTTGTCACACCTCCAGAACGTCCTCCTTTTCACACCAGCACGCCGCGTAACCGAGCGGCTTAACCCGGTCCGCGGCGCGCTCACGCACACGCACGGACACACGGTTGAACCCGCATTAAACCCTCGCTCCTCCCACTAAACGGGGAAACGGGCCTGCGGGAGCGTTGGTTTCCCTTGTGAGAAATGAACGATAAATAGTAATGATAATAACCATGTACTGTAAAGTGTGATTAATACTATGGGTGAGAACTTTGGACGAGGTTAAATCGATGCGATGCAGAAACTCTTCTTGATTAATACCCGATTGCAGTTTAAACCTTCATTTGGCTTCAGAATGGATGTTCTGTAGAGTGTGATGCTTCGGATCTAGATGCAGATCACGAAGCAATCCTGGTTACTTTTTTCAAGACGCGATTAAAATAACATATATTATTAGCTAGTTTCCCAGTTCATCAGCATGTCGTCTCCTGCTGGACAAAGGGGTGAAGTGCAATGACAGGAAGACTCAAATATTTAACAAATAGTTCTAATTTTACTCTGTGTCTTATTTGATAGAAATAACTCCCATTGCCACCCAATTTGATCCATTCACTGTGGTCCGTGTACGTTTTGATAGTCGCTTTTACCGTAAAAAACAGAAAACGAAAACACTCGTTTCTTGTTTTAAATCCAAAACGAGAAAACGTGTCGTTTTCTCATTTTTCGTTTAGAACCAAAAAACGAGACAAAATCACAACTTTTTACTCCGTTAATCCCTTTTGGGGTTTTGCCCATAACACGAAAATACGAAGCGGAGCCGCTAAACCGGAAGTACGCAGATTTTCACAGTAAGAGTCAACGCAATGGAACGTGTGTGTGCTAGAAATCCGCCTGCGATGCCAGCGGTTACCAGGGTAACATTAGGAGAAAAGTTAATTCATTATTATAAATAAGTAATCCTGGTCCAAGGGGATGTGTTAGCAACAGCAGTGACTGCATCACTGCAAAATGATTTGAACAATAAGTCATAGTAACTTATTTTTGTTATTTACTTTGACTTATCATGATGGGTTATATATAATTACAACTTAATTTTTTTCGGTCCTCCAACTCAGGTTTTTAAGCAAGTTCAACAAACTGTAAATTTCAACAAGTTTAATGAACTCAATACTGTGAGATGACTCTCAGTCAAGTTCCAATAACTGTCTTTTAAAAGCGATTCAATACATACACACATACATACATACATACATACACACACACACACACACACACACACACACACACACACACACACACACACACACACACACACATACACACACATACATACATACATACATACATACAGCCATTCTTTCCACGTCTTCAGTCCGGAGTGGGACACAGTGACACAGAAGGACAACAGGGTAGGATATATTGTTTCCACAGCATCACATACAACATAGTAGCCTCTGAAAGGCTGCAAAATAACAACAGCATGTGGCTACTGTTTACAAATCAAGGAATAAATGTACAGAAACAGAATCTGCTGCTTGTTGGTCTTGTTTCTGTCGAGCCAAATTTGACTTTATTATTGATTTTATTGATTTTATTTCCAACCACAAAAAGACAGCAGGCCTAGAAACTGTGCTCAGTACTGTTGACAGCGATATATCTCTGCACACAACAAACAGTCCATCAATGAGCAAAGAAAGAAACATAACGATGACTGAAAACATAATTTAAAGATCAGCCGACAATTTAGTCAAAGCAATTTCTGAAGACACCAGGACCACAGAGACTCACATCTTCAAACTAAAGTATTTTGCCACACGTGCTCACATCATTCACTTGTAGGCTTTCATGTCCCCAAATCCACCCAATGTTCTCATCTGCAGTTCCAGTGTGAACATCATTTGGATTTCCAGCACAAAATGATATGGTAAAGTTGTGATGAAGGCAGAACCGTGTGTTTATGCTTGACTGATGGACATGTTAAGCCCAAGTCGCTATATAATCAGTTAGAAGCAATTCACGAACACAATTTCTCTGTACTTTTCCGTGATGATTTCCATTGCTGGAAATTTTGGCACTGGTTCAAGTGAAAGAGACGTTTATGTTTTAAGTTGGAATTGCACCAGATCATGAAGATGTCAAAGTCTACAGGGACATCTAGTGGATATGCCGTTGAAATGCAGCTTTCAAGAAGTATTTAGATGCCACAATACAGAAATGCTCTCAGTTTCCCAAATGTTACTATATTACTTCAATAGTTAGTTAGTATTACAGATGGCAGCATCAGATTCAAAAGGCCTTCCAGAGCCTTTTAGAGTGCAGAGATAATAAAGTTGCATTAAGGAACAAAATAAAACAACACAAACATCAGCAAAACACGTTGTTCCTTTGTGGAGAAGTTGTCAGGGAACACTGACTTATTGTTGTTACATATTCACTACATGAATGCATGTACGCACAAACATGCACGCTTTGCATAGATAACGCGTTACACAGACATCCTCCCTCTGTGACAGGGACACAGAGTGGGTTTTACATCCCGCTCTGGCCGTGCACGTTCCCACGCACCGTGTCCGTCGGGGGTCCCGACGCCGAGCCGCACGCTGCGGCCGCAGACGCACCGAGCACCCCGGTGACCAGGAAGCCAACGCTTCACGCGCACACGTGACACCTGGGAAAACTTCTAATAAAGTTTTTCTGGGGTGTTTTGTGAGTGTGTGGGGTTTTTTGGCGTTTGTTTTTTTTCACATTGATTTTCAATCCGTTATGGCCGAAGCCCGTCGTGAGGATGAGGAAGAGGAAGAGGGGGAGCGCACGGATCTGCGAGGCGTCCCGTACAGGAAGCAGGCAACAGGTTTGTTTGGTTTGTGATCGTAACAGGTCGACAAAAACGGTTTCATCAATCCTCTAACGGGCACTTAAAATATGTCGTCGGTGGTTGGTGTCGTTGTTGAAATGCTGCGTATGATTTAGTTTGATGCACGGTGTTACAAATTTACCAATTTGTAATAAAAATGTGTTTTTGCATTCCAGCTGATCGTAGAATAGAAATGGATGGGCTGTATTTCCAAGCAGCCCCTGTTTAAATCAGGCATGTATGTACTAAGTAGAATAAAACTCTTCAGACACCACCAAAGTGGATCCTCGCAGCTGCATTTGCTTTGAGTCACTTTCGGAAAAGAGTAAATGAATGGAAGCTAAAGGAGAGTTGGGAAACACATTAAACACTCAATTTACTGTAAAGTGCTAAATCTGCTTGATTTGTAGATATGGCACCAATAACAAAAACAAAGGTGAACATTTATATATAGTCATTTTAGTGGTTATCAGAAGCTGTTGAAACCTCATGGCCGGCTGCCTACTGTATGAATGCGTGATTTTATGCCCTTATGTCTGGATCGATTCATCTTTAAATATGTTCACCAGAAGGTTAATAGTTTTATATAGATACCCTTGGTACTCCCCCAGTTTACTCAAAACTCTTAAACAATAAGAAACAATTTGGCTGTTTTTTACTTTTTTTTTTACTTTTTAGGCCAAATACTAAAGTAACTTTTTTTTTCATTTGGTTGAAATTATGAAGTAAGACTTGACAGCCTGAATATTGAGGTTGATGTCATTGATTCCCACCACTGATGGATGTGATTTAGAAACATCACCGTTTGTTTTTTTAGTCAGCTGCCTCACGAGCACTGAAACTTGTGTCTCAGTTTGAATTTCCCCTCCGAGTGCTCTTTTGTTTTTTGTTGCAACACCTGCTGTGCAAACACTCCTGACCCCCCCTCCCCCCCTGCGGCGGCCTGCTATCCGCAGCCAGTGGATCAGCTCAGGCTTAACCCTCCCCAACCACACCCTAACCCCCCCACCAGCTGTCTGGATGCTGACATTCTGTCCGTGTCCACAAACACGCTGTCCTTCTCTGTAACGCGATGCACTTTTTCCCCGTCCTTTTCAGGGTAACGTTCTGATAGGATTCATTCCGCCATCGCCGGGCCTTTCGCCATAATGGAGGTGTTGCAGCCCCCCCCAACCCCCCGGCTCTGAATTAGAGGCTTAAAGTCTATCTTTCTTTCTTTCCCTTTGTCCCCGGGGCCGTTTCACCAGCTGCCCTGTGACGTAGTGATGTCAGCACGTGTTCAAGTGAGAATGCAGCTGTGGATGGAGGGAATCCTTTCTCGCTGAGCTCAGCAGCTTTTGGGTGTGTTTGTTGGCGTTGTTCACCGAAATGAAAGTAAATAACTGAGATGACATTCGCAGCCTAACTGGGCCGCGACACTTGTGTTGATGGCAACTAAAAGGCATTGAACAGCGATATAAGATATGTGGCATTTTTTTAGCATTTTCTATTTGGATATTATATTTTCATCAATGTCACCCAAAGAAAGGAAAGCCTGCTTTGTCTAGGTATTAGGTAGCATACATATATATACATACATACTTCTCTTGTTGCTCTTTTTTTTCACACTAACCTGTTTGAAAGGTTGTTATATTGGTTTTATTGATACATATCACTTCAATTTGCTGCCAAATCACAGCTTCGCAACTTACAGTAGAGGCACAACCAGAGCTATGGATCCAAATCCTTCAAATTATTTTAAACTTTTTAAAGGGATGTACCCTTTTACTGTTTAAGGGAAGGGACAAGACAATGCGGTGGTGTTGCGTGGCGCAAACGGAACTTCCTGCATGACCACATTCCGGTGAATCAGATTGGCCCAGGTGAACACAGCAGGGCCCACAGATCACAGGGCCCTCCCTTTCTCTCCTGTTGTCTGAAGGCGCGCGACGGCTGCCTTCAGGTCGCTCGTCACTCTCAGACACGCCATGGAGGGAGGACCCTGGTGGGGAATACTCTCCTGATGCCGAGGATTCGGTATTTGTTCCTTTAACTCCTCGGAGGTAGGATCACACCTTTTTTAATCACGAGAGAGGCAGATTCACTTAAATAAATGAAGGTAAAGTTGACCACCTGTGCTGTTGTGTCACGTCTTTTGGGCTGCATGTTTACGAGGAAATGCTCGTGTGCTTTTTTTGCCGTGAAGTGAAAGTGCAGAAAAGTCTCTTCCCCCCGTGTTGTTAAAGTGTAACTGGAGGCAGCAGCTCGGTGACAGCGACAGGTAACAAGCAACAGGTGCGACAGGTGGACTAGACTGCCAACGAGGTCCCGGTTTCATGCTTGGAGGCACTAACAACAATGCTGACTTCAACCACTGCCTGTTTTTTCTCTTTCTTTTAAAGAGGTTTACTCTTAAAAACATTGGAAACAAGTAACGGTGTTGATAGAAGACATCTCATCTGCCATAACCATCTCTTCTTTGTAAATTTAGCCGCTGAGCAACTTTAGACTGACTGGTTCATCCAGATGTTTTGTTAATCCGGCCGGTTAAGTTATGGTTCTTGTATTTCTAGTTCAAAGAGTCACGGCTAATAGCAGGTGGTGATTTAAACAAAACCACAACTACGTCTCAAAGTGAAACTGTGAAGCTTTTATCATTGTTATATCACATATCATTGTTTCTGTTTTAAATGTCTTGCTTGGCTTGGAAGCTTGTGACTGATATTGTTGGCAAACTATAAAAATACATGACATCACGGATGGCATTTGTCTGTTATGTTCGTCACCTTCACACTCATAAGGGGTTTTCATCAACATTAGATTATAACAGCTTAGAACTTTCAATCATGTTTAATATTTGCTTGAAAATCCTTTTTTAAATTCCAAACCTACAACAACAAACATTTGACATTGTCCCTGCTGATGCTTTGGCTCCTCACTTCTTGCTGTTTTCATTTTTTATATATATATATATATATATATATAATAGAATAAATGAATGTTGATAAGGGGCCAGGATGTTATCTTTGTCTCACATCTTTGACTCCCTTTTTTTTTCTCCAGCTCATCCTGAAAGAACCAAGGCAGATCATTCAAGGTATGCCTTTTTTTTTTTCACTATCAAGTTTCACCAAAACGCGTATCTGTTGCTGAAACGGGTCACTGTCACTTTAACGGCCAGATCTGCTGATGCCCGTGAGGTTGTGAATGGACCAAAACAATGCACTGATCATCCTCACCGAACATCAGAAGGTCAACGCAGGGACAATTACGTCAAGCAGCAGTTTTGTTGTTGTTGTTGACCTTGTTTTGAGACAATAAGTAATCAACGCGGTTGTCTTTACAGCTTAGCTAATTAATTAAACAAACCCTGTGTTATCGCAAAGAGAGCGAGGATTGTTGGTCCCCGCCCCCCCCCAGAAGGTTTGCATCATCGTCCTGCAGCCGGTCCTTAATGAGCAGGACGTGTTAATGATGCACCCGCCTCCACTGACAGCGTCGGTTTAATCACAAAGACGCAGGATCTCAGAGAGGCGAAGGGCCTGACGATACGAAACCGAGTCAAACTGTGAGGAGGGAGGGAGTCGGGTGTCGTTTGTCCACAGAGCAGGTACACCGTAAACTAGAATGGAGTATGAAGCTGATCTTGATGTATTTTTAAATGTCAACCATAAAAGGCCTTTTAAAATCATTCTTCATGTTTAGATTGGTCTTCCTTCACCCACCTCTACAGCTTTGAGCCTTCTTTAAACACTCTATTTGTCTCTGTTTATGTTTAGTGTCTTTTCTTTTTAGTTCCAAGTCACTTCAAGTCCTTTCATCTTTGCATGACTTGGCAGCGACCGTATAAAGAAGCAGTGTAGATTGAGCGTAGAGTGTGACTTTCTTCTGGGACAAGGAAAGACATTTCTTTTTCACAGTTGAGTCACCACAGAGGAATGACGCAGCTCTCCACACCTTTAAAATCGTTTCTCCTATTCACTCTTTTCCAGCCGAGGGCCTCTGAACTCGATACGAGCTGCTATCAAACGAAGTAAGCTGCCGTTTTGATGAGACTTAAAGCTGTTGTTTGTGTAAAATGAAACCTCTTTTATGTGACAAATACAAGTAAAAACAATCAAATCTTCCTTTCTTCAGCAAGCACAAAGTCTCAGAGCGACGGCACCAGAGAAAGGAGGTAATGCAAAGAGTCATTTTAGAGTACACAGCATAAAAACCATTGGTGTTAAATTTGGGACCAGATATTTTGCTTCTCACTGATATAGACATCAGTTGAAATAGACAACTGGAGTCATCTCATGTTGTGATGTTGCTTTTCCAGTTAGGCTAATAAAAGAATCAAATTATCAATGAGAAATAAATCATTTGTAATGGTGACGGGCACTTTAGTTTACTGAATGTATGTTTTATGTATTTGTGATTGGCATTTTCCAGTCGGCCAGAGATCACCATCCTCTCAGCACAACCTCTGGCCAGTAACAAGTGGTTCTCAGGGAACCCCACGGTTTTCCCTCGTCCCCCTCAGCCAGGCTGGTCTGCCGGCATCCAGGCAGGTCCCCAGGTAGTCCTCGTCGGAGACTGTTTTCAATCGGTGAACAAAGCTCAATTCAAGCTCAACAAACGTTTTGTTTTAGTATTGAGTGTGCCGGTGTGTCTTTCTCGTGACTTAGCCCCCACCACCCTATGACCAGGTGATCCGAGAGAAGACCCAGGAGGAGCACGTTGTCAAGCCCACTGCGGCCCCCCGTCGGACCGCCTGCACCGCCACAAGTGCCACGCAGACCGACCCTGTATGGGAGGACACCTGCGCTGCTGCTCCACAGTCCTTAAGAAAAAGACCTGCAGGTGAGACATACGAGGGAGTGTGTAAACTTGCCCGCCATCTATTTCTGCTCTACGTGGTGACTATTTCACAATGATTGCGTCTCCTTCCAGGTAAAAAGCCACAGAAACCGCCGAGGCCGTCACCACCAAAACCCGTGGACAGAGGACCAGTGGGTACCAATACCAGACTACCGGCAAACGCTGAGGAACCAAGTGACGCCCAGTCGGATGTAAAGCAACCGCACCGGTCCGGTTCCACCCGCGGTGGATCTGTCACTGTACACTGGGACTTTCCTCCCTCCTTCGCCGCCTCTGAAACTGCTCCCTCTTCCCCGGGCCCAGAACCCCCTCGTCGACCCGTTCCACTGCCTCGCACCAAATCCCGAAAGCAGGCGGTCGTGCACGAGGTGAAGGTCCAGACTTTGGTCGAGCTCAATGAACCTTGTGCCAGCGTTCGATCGGATCCAGAGGAGGTCACCTCCTGCAAGTATTTAAAGGACTTATTGGAGGTCTTCGCTGCTAACGAGTGTCAGGAGAACAGCGGCGACGCCAACCAGTCAGAGGAGGCCTCGCAGGGGGAGGACGCAGGTGTCAAGATGAACGGCAACCTTAGTCAACGCAATATCCGGGCCAGGATCCAAGCATTTGAGACCCAGGCTACCACCGAGGAGGGAAACGCCGCGGAGTTGGCCCAACCGGAATCCGCCCCCAGGAAGGCGCCCAGCAAACCTCCAGTTGCCGCCAAACCTTCCGTCTCGCTTAAACCGCAGTTAAACAACAATGTAGACTATCGAAACGCATCGTTCAGAAATGCCCCCAAAGTCCCCGTTCCGTCCCCCGGACCGGTGAAGGAGGAACTGGAGACTTTATTCAACAACAGGTCGCGTCCTTCTGTGTTGACCAGAGAAAACAGCATCCATGGAGAGGGCGTAGCACCGGTCCCCCCTTCCCCTGCAGTGAAGTCTTTTAAGGAAGCCCTGAAACCCAACTTCAACATAAATAACCATAACTCCACCTCTATGGCCACAGAGGATCTGTATTCGGACATTTCATCAAGTGAGTAGTGTTTTTCCTTCATGGGTTGTATGTTGTGGGAGACCAAATACAGCTACTGACTTCATCATAGATTCATCTAATGATAAACGGTGTGATTTAAGATCAAAGAAGATGATGATGGAAAAAAGATGCTAAACTATTTAGCAATAACAAATCAATTTACAAATATTGTTATTTTGTTCTTTGTTCAGATCACATCCCCTTCAAACCTCAGCACAGTGTGGACATCAACGGAGGCTCTTCAACCAGACAAAGTCTAACACGGAGGCCGACCACTATCAGGGTCCCCAGCCAAACCGGGTCACGTGAGTCCCTCTGCCAAAGTCAACCTCGTGTGATAACCGTCAGAAATACGCTGGAGTTCAAATACTTTCGTTCCACGTGACATGATGGAGCACAAGTTCTCAGAAGGGTGGTGTAAAGAGAGTTGTCTTCTCATTGTCAGCTTACTCTGAGGACAGCTCCCCTCCTCTTCCTGCTCAGAAGCCCAAGGGCTCCCCAAACCCCCAAAGGATCAACAAACCAAGCCAGACCCCCGCCTTCCCACGGCAGGTAAGCGTATCATCTCACTGAGCCACCGCTGACCTATGAACTCTGATCGCCACAGAACAGGTTATTCTTTGCCGCCCCCCTCGCCATCCACGCCTTAAATCTTCGGCTGCTTTTAGAATAACTTATTTTCCCCGTTAAGATGGTTCAGCTACGATAAAGAAAAGGGCGGCGTCTCTCGCTCTTTAATCTCATGAAGTGCTCGGCAAGAACGACAGCTTTGTTCCTCCGACGCGCCCTGATACAAGCTCCATATCTCACGCGCTTCAGCGCCCGCTCAGCATCTCGCCGTCGTAGACCGAGCTTTGGCATGTTTGGCAGAGCGCCTTGAGCGCCCTGCACAACCAGTATGGATCAACCAATTAACCAATTGATCCATATATAAGGCGCTCCGGATTATAATGCGCACTGTCGTTTTTTGAGAAAATGAAAGGCTTTTAAGTGCGGCTTATAGTGCGGAAAATACGGTAATGCTTCTTTTTGGATTTGTCTGCAGGAGTCTTTCACGTTTGGGCAGGAACCATCATTACCACCTCGGTAAGTGGAAAGAATTCAGAATGAAATGTTACACTGTGTAAACATGCAACTCAACTTGATTCTCCTGCTGCACTTCAGGAGGCTGACTACGAGCAAAACCCTCCCCCCCCGCCCACCTCTGGCCAAAACGGGCCCAGGAAGACCGGCCCCGCCCATCACCCAGGCCATAGGTCGATCCCAGTCGCTGTACTCGGAAACTCCCCCAAAACCGCAGATACAACAGACACAAAGGAAAAGAAGTGTTGTGCCCCCAAGGCCCAACCCCGGCCACAGCCTCTACAACAAATACACGGTGAGACATCCCCCCCAGATGCACGACAGATGCCTGTTTTTAAATACCGCCTCTGTCTGCACAGGTTTCATTTTTTGCTTCCATTCAACAGCTTCAACTTCCTCATGGGATCGCTGCCTTCGACTACAATGGGAATAACGCGGGAGAACTGTCGTTTCAGGTGTCTGAACCACGTTCTCTGGCTCACATGCTGCATGCAAGACCGTTCTAAGGCATCGACGTAGTTGATTCTGCAATCGTGAACAAGCTTTTGTTGTCCTTTTTTTCAATAGAAAAATGAGGTGCTCCTGCTGCTAGACGAGATTGACCACAATACGTTCCAGTGCCAAGTCGGGGAAACCAGAGGCGGAGTACAAAAGTCTCACATGATGGTCATAACTCCTCTTTCCTCCTCCTCCTCCTCAGACGCAGCCCCACCACAGGTGATGTTCATGAGAGAAGCCCGTCTTTGATACTTGAGTATATCTTGCCCAGTGGGCTCTGCTATACCTTTTTAACCTCTCTCCCTGTAGGATGCCGGTTCAGGTGACGCTGGTTCTGAGCTCAAAGTGCAGGCCACACATGACTTCAATCCAGGTGACTCATCACTTTGCAGCTATTTGGGTCTAGAATAGGAAAACATGAGGCAATGTATGCAAAGAATAGTTTAACTCTTTGGGAGTTCAGCTTTCTTGTTGAAAGTTCTGTATTTCTGCAACTAGACCCAGGAGGCGATTAGCGTAAAGCATCAGCTTAGCTTCATTTAGCATCAAGACCAAAACCAAAAGCAGGAGGAAATGGCTGTCCGGGCCCTGCCCATGATTAAAGAAATATGCCTTTACCAACACCTGCAAGCTTACAAATTAACATCTAACGAATCATTTATTTAAAGCAAACCAAAACCTAATATTTTTTCAGAATTGAGAGAAAGGGAGCCGACTGGAGGTTTCTCCCTGCATCCCGTCTTATTGCTCAGATGTACAAATGATGTTGTTTCACATTTGAAGGAACATGTTGAGATAATGATTACGAGGCCATGAACAGCTGTTGCTTTTTTCACACACACACACACACACACACACAGAGGGTCCAGGAGAGCTGGGCCTACGAGCAGGCGATGTAGTGACCATGGTGGAGCAGCTGGACAGTCAGTGGTACAGAGGCACTTGCAGGGGATCTACCGGTTTCTTTCCCATCAATTATGTCAAAGTCCTGGTAAGTCTGAACCAGTGAAATCCATTCCTTCACTGCGTTGCTTAAATACTTTGAATGATTAAGGATGCAAGAAAAAAAAGCATCATTTTTTTTTCTCCAACTAGACAAATTCCCCAAAACCGCCCCGCGAACAGAAAGCAAGACCATCGTCTACAACAGTCAGGTACGGATTTCACACCATCCACTTGTCATGTGACACGCACGCAAACTACGCCGATGACCTAAAGCTGTCCGACTGATTGATCCTGATGGTTGAAAATGCTACAGCGGTCCGAGATGCGTGGCGAAGTTCGACTTTGAGGGCAACACCAGCGAGGACGAGCTGTCGTTCTCTGAGGGAGACGTGATCCAGCTGAAGGCGTACATCGGAGAGGAGTGGGCCCGGGGACAGATCGGCGCCTCGACCGGCCTCGTCCCTCTCAACTTTGTGGAGATCATCGAAGATCTGCCCCCACCCACGAGTCTGCAGAAGAGACATTCCATCGGAATACCAATGCCCGGTGAGATTACATGATTTTAAAACAATTTCCTTTGTTTCCCAACGTGTTGATTTGACGGTCAAAAGCTGACTGAGCTCGTGATACACGCTGTTCTAAAGATAGCAACGTTTATACGCCAGGGACATCACCTCTTGTAAACTTTGTGCACCGAGGGAGAGCCTTTATCCATCACGTGGGCCTTGTGGTGGCATGTCAGGAATTTATGCTTGTTTCTATTTCATTAAATAGCTGTTTACAAGAAGGCCTGGACTCACTCAGCCAGGAGTTTAAAACTACTGAGGTCAAGTGGGGAGGTCCCTCCTTACAAAGTGCTCCAATAATATTTGATTTATTCAGAAGTGTAACGTCTGTAGGGTTTGTAACTTTGACATTGCTTTGTCTCTATTGGCCCGATAGTGGATTATATTCAGAAACCCTGCTTTAAAATGAATAGGGAAATAAATTAGATTAGTTGAAGGGAGTGAGTTTGAACTCCCTTCATGAAGGTCCTGTTTTTCACAGAGCTTTTGAGATACAATATGGTGGAGAAATACTGAGTGGCATAGAAATAAAAATTACACTTTTGGATGTATTTTATACAAAATACAGGAATTTTTAAACAAAACATAAACACAGTGGAGGTAAATAATACTGCATCACTAAAGTGACACATCAACACGGGGCCTGTGACCTTTTGACATGTCCTCCCACAGGCATGGCGTCCTCTGCGAGCACGCGCGCTGGAGTGGCCGAACCGGCCCGGCCCGGCGTGGAGTGGGCCACGGCCCTGTACGACTACGCCGAGGACTCCGACGGCGACCTGTCGTTCAAACAGGGCGACCGGATTCTGATCAGCCGCCACGTGGACGCCGAGTGGAGCTTCGGGCGGGTGGGCGGCAGAGAGGGCGTGTTTCCCCGGGCCTTCGTCGAGAGCGACGCAGGTACGGAGAGAAGGTCCCACGCGAGTCTGTTCCTCGGTACCGGCAGGGCATCCTCAGAGTTCTCATTGGAGGCAATAAAGAGGCGTTAATGGAGACGAGAAATGGGTGATGAATTATGTCTAAATTGCAAACTACCTTGTTGCACTTTGTTCAGTTAATTATGTGTTTTACTTTAGAGGAAAGTTTTCACAAATTACATGTAGCGTGAATACATGCTAGTAAACTTAAGGAAACTTAATTCCTCTGGACTACATCTGAGGGAATATTGTGTCTGACGGCTTTACTGTCCAATTAACTAGTTATTCTCTCAATGTGACTACTTTATAAGCTGAAGTGTTAATTTAGGAACTGAGAAACTTCTCTCCTCTTGGATCACAAAGCTGAAAACGTTTTTTGCTTTCCTTTTTTTCACTGGAAAGGGTGGCTACATATCAACCTTTTCGACTGCATAAGCTCAAAAGGAAGTTTTGTCAAACCAGTATTATTGTTAATCATTCATTCCAGAGGTATGTGATTTTGTCAGCAGGTCAGCAGAGTGGAGCGGCTGCTGGAAGTAGAGGAAGGGCCATGTTTGACTTCACGCCAGAATGTGACGAGGAGCTCAGTCTGCAGGTACGCTGATCGTCTCCCAATAGACCCATTCCAGCTCATCCGTAGAAAGCATCAGCATTCTGATCTGCCTTCTTCCGTAGGCTGGGGATATAATCACTGGTCTGGAGACGGTTGATGAAGAGTGGTTCCTGGGAAACTTGAGGGGGAAACGTGCTCTGGTCCCTAGAAACTACGTGCAAGTACTGGAGTAGGGAGACGTCACACTGGACGACAACTGAACTAAGCAGGTTTCCAGCAGCGGGAGCCTGAACTGTACAGGGAATGAGTTATTTCCTCTCCACTTGATGTCTTAACTTATACATGAGGGCTTTTCATGACTAAACGAATAAAGTAAAGCTGGTTTGCAATTGAAAAAGTATTCAGTAAATTTGTGCCATCTAGTGGTTTCATTATTGGAAAGCGGTAGGACGCTTGAATGGAATACATTGTGGCCAACAGGTCAGGATAAGTAAATGTCTACATGCGATCATTTTAACCTGGGTAAGTTATTCAAGCCTTCAGCATAATCCAATACCGAAAAAATGATTTTACATACAGAATTTAATCATTGGTTGGTTATGCCTGGCGCATGAGTCGACTCACACGTTTCAATTCATGGTTCTAAAAGTCTTGGGTGTGTTGCAGAGCAATTCACCTCCAGAACAGGTGGAGTAAGAAGTTTGTTGACGAGTCACGTCATTGTGGAAGTCGTTGGTTTGTTTCAGACTGCTGCTTTTCATCGGACACGTCCCATATTTTCCTCAACCGGCAAATTGACATTTGCAGAGATCTCTCTGTGAACCCAACCCAATGACTGGTTCTATACGCGGCCAAAGTTACGCATTTATTACGACAAAAGCTCTTCAATCTGATCCCATCTCCCGTAAACATTCGTTTTAATAATGGTGGTATCTGGCTAAGAAAGCTGAAATGCGAGACTCCGTAAAGGATGTAGTTAGACCAATCGCAGCCTTGCCTCCCTCAGTGCGCTGCGGGAGGCTTGCGCCGAAAGCCACTCAAGCCTAGAAAAATGGGTCAACACACGCAAGGAGGTGTGAAAAGGCACCCAAGGGGGTCTTGCGTCTGCGTCGCTCTGAAATCGCAGAAGCATAAACTAGGCTTTAAAGCGGGATTCTTTTATAGCTTCCAGCTTGTACGGTAGTCTATGCACAAAAATATGAGCCAGTTTGTTGGTCATTTACATTTTTTATTAAATCTGTTAGGTGGTTTAGACAGTCTCCTGGATGGGGGGCTCATAGCCATCGGCCCTCTCCACCTTGGCTCCAGTGTCATCACCTGCCGGCTTTGCAGCGGTGGTGGTGGTACCGCCCTCACCATGGAGCTCCATCAGTTTACCCACTGCAACAGAACATTAACAGAGTTTAACTTAAAAGGTTGTGAAGAGGATAGTGGCAATATCAAGAAGCGAAAACCGCAATGATGCTTTAATGAATTCACGCCTCAAAGCCCAGTCAAGATTCTACCTGGAACCAGCCTGAGCAAATCTACTTCACCCCTCCACACAATCAATGAAAACACTGGTTTTCTATCCCGGGAACGTCAGGTGATTTCAATGGGCAGTAATCAGGCGATCATCTGGGACCGGATGCTGGTCATGCGTTTCCCACGGATGGTGGAAAATTAAAAATAGCCGGTGTTAAAGCTGAGATTCACTTACACTCAAACTTGGGCTTCTTCAGCATCTTGACCTTGCGCACAAAGACGTCGTGAAGAGGGTAGATGGACTGGCAAGCCTTCTCAATGTCCTTACCGACACTGTCGGGGATCCTGAAACAAAGCATGAAATCACGTTAATGAGTGAAAGCCCGATCTCAAATTCACTTGCTGCACACGTTTTAAACATTTCCCCCCACGTGTCCAAGGTGACTAATTGGTTGTTTTAGTCCCAATTTACAAAGCATCATTGGTCTGCTTTTATTCATACTGAATTACTTTTTTCAAGACTGTTACAATCAGCTTGTGAGATTCTTTTGTAGAAAAACATTTACATAAAAATAAAAAAAACTAAATGAAACTTATCAATTACCAAAATTATTGACAATGTACTTACAGCTTGTTGACAACTTCCTTCAAGTCGTTGGTCTGAACCTCGCGGGTCATGATCTCCATCATCTTCTTGCGAATCTGACGGACCTGCTGGTGCTGCGCGTACGACGTCTTCCTGATCTGATTGGTGCGCTTCTTTGTGAAACCCACGCAGAACAGACGCAGAAGGTAGCCGTCTGTGGTCTTGACATCCACATGGGCCTCAATCATAGTCTGAGAAGAGACGATACATTGTGGTTAGACTTCACTGCACCACCAAAATCCTGACTGTCGGTTTGCAGTGTTTTGTCTGCTTTGCTACCCTTAAATGTGTATCTCACAACTTTCCCTTCTCTAAACAAGGTAGATTTTACAGCCATAGTTTTGTTTCCTTGGTGTTTTAGAAAGCACAATTTAAGAACAAAAACAAATCTCAGTAGCAAATAAGGATATACGTTAAAACCAACCTGCATCAATTTCAGTAACTGTCCCCTTTATAAAAAACATAATATGCCTAAATATAACTGCCATTAGTTGAACAATGATCACAGGTATTCTATAGAGAATTACTGCACAGAAACTGAAATTTACATTGACAGTTCAGGTTCTTTTGGTGTAACAATACAGTTTCATTGGCTACAGCATCCTTGTAATACACCAAACTGATATTAGTACTAAACCATTGTGACTGCTTAGGGCTCAAAGACCTCGGTACCAGTTTGTAACCATTACAAGGAATGGATTTAAGAGTTGGTGAAGGACTTAAATGTAGCCATCAAACCTCCCTTTCCTGTCCAACTGACCCTGCAGTAAAAACCCAGCAAGGACTACAGTAATACGTTGTTGTACAAGTAATAACCATAATTTTCAAAGGCATACAGTTAAAAAATAATGTTGGACGTGTGAATCCCATAACATTTGAGAAGTACAGGTAGTGCAGTCACCAAACTCAAAATGGCTCCAATTACATGCCACTACTTCCAATTACTGTCGCGCACTACCCTTCAAGACAAATTCCTTGTATGTTTGGCATATTTTGGTAATAAATGTTTCCTGATTCAAGGGGGGCATGCGGTATTAAAGTAAAAGCCACCATCATTACCTGCCATTTCTTGACCATGGAGCACATCTTGTCACGAGTCAGGTCCATGCCGTGGAAGTTAGTAAGGCAGTTCTTGCCCTGAACATCCTCGGTGATGAGCTTGAACTTGCGGAAGGCCACCTCGTCGTTCTGCAGGTCGGCGAGGCTCACCTCGAACACACGTCCCTTAAGACCATCAGAGGCGATTCCTAAGTGGTGGTGAAAACAGACACGTTAGGAAAACCCCCAAAAAAGCATCTGGTGGGGCTAGTGGGGGCCTTATGCAGTATATTTCAAAGAGCATTTAGGCAAGTTCACCTAGATTTTCTATACTATAAATTAGTTTTGGTCGGTCATTGGCACGCAAACTTGCATATGCACGTTGACGGCTGAATATAAATACAGAGAGTAGATGCACAATATGAGTACTTACTGGTTCCCTGAGTCCTGGAGACCAAGGTCTTGCCAAGATTGCGAATGTTGAACATGGCTGGTGCCTTGACATCATACCAGTCCTTCTTGGAAAAGGGGTCGACACTGCAGGAGAGAGACACGCACCTCAGACACGACTCGTTGAGCAGATATAAAACAGACACGGGGATGTGCAGATATATTTGGAGCAGACTAGCTAACGTTAGCTAGCAAACCGGGTGAGCAGCACGCAGAGGGTTAGCAGGCATTTTGGTGGGTTAACTTTCAGCTGATCGATTCGGCAGCGGCCTTAACGTGGCCGTGGATTTTACACACACACGTTAAATTTGGAGTAAAACGCCACTGATGAGCAACTATCCAAATTGATTGTGGCATTCCGCTGCCATGTTGGTAGGAATGCTCGGCTAAAGCCGTGCTAGCAATGTAGCGTTGGTAGCTAATAATATGGCTGATGGTGTTAAGGTAAGAAGTGAACAGTCAAACTGCCCCAGTCATGCGCGATTTAATTTTAAAGCCCGACGGTAGAAGTATAGATTAACCGAATTACGAATAAACACAACGGTTTAGCGTAAACGGGACGCAGCATGTTTCGACTCCATACAGCGCCACAGAGGCCGGGGACGAAGAGTAACGCTGACCCGATGGCATCTACTTGAAATCGGCTTCATCCTTCATATTTTTGGTACCAACTTGACACTAGTGAGAAGGGCGAAGAACGTCTCGTATAACAATGTAAGAATTTTCTACTTACATCTTCTTTTTGGCACCTTTTTTGCCGCCTTTGGTCAGTCTCTTATTCTTGCCGACTGCCATGTTGGCTACAGGGAGTGAAAGAGGAGGAAGGACGAAATACCGCGAGACTTAAGGAGACCGGCCTCGTCCGTGAGACTTGTCTTCTCTCGCGAGTCCTGTGGATTTCTTTAAGCGCCCTCTCCTGGTAACAAAATAGTAAACCTGAGGACACGGAGCTCATGAATGAACCTTTAACCGAGTAATTGACTTGAAGCAAATAAATGCATTTTTGATCTCGTAAGCAGCTGAATAACTATATTGTGATTTATTTTTAAACAAGCAAACCAGCTGGAATATAGATTTGAAATGAATAAAAAACAAACTTATATTTGATCAATGCTATAGAGTTGAATTTGGAAATCAATTGATACAGAAAAAGAACCCCCCCCCATTGGCTCTCGGTTTATGAATATCTCTAAGTACGTAGGCCTACATCAAGTTTCTTGAACTGAAAAAAACAAATCAAATATTTGTTTTAATACATGTCATGCAATGTATTGCGATTCATTTGTACTTTTAAAACGGGACATTTGTAATTAGAGTGACTGTGGTAACGATGGTATGATTGCTTCAATTATTAAAAACGCAAACATTGCGACCAGTAAGCAGGCAGAACCAGTCTCTTTGTGTGTAAATACATCATTAGGGCGTGTAGCTTGTTATCCACCCACACTGTTATTGTAACAAAGGGAAGAATTTGGACTGTTGGTGAAATTAAGTAAAAAAGAGAATGTTGCATACTTACTCATAGCGTTGATATTGTCTGTATTATTCCAAAGGCCGACTGTTGATCACACTCATTGGTGAGGTGTATATGTATAACAAAAACAAAGGTAGTCTACAAGTTTTATACAAGAAAAGGAAGTGCCTCTGTGCATTCAGGAATGTTTTTTTAAATGTAAATTCCAGTGAAAATGTGTCATTCCACAGAGGTGGAGACAGTGCAGCAGAGACACCCTAACTTATCCATCAAGTTCATTACTCTCCCAAAGCAGCGGTTGGTGCTAACCAATATTTGAACAATATATCTTAAATCACCAAAATATCTTAATTTGAGACTTTACAAAAAACATCATCTGATATCATAAGGCTACTTCTTTTAGCCAGCTGAGGTCTTCTTCCTCTTCTTCTTACACCCATCTATGTTTGCAGTTTTGTTCTTTTCTTTTATTTGAAATGTCTGCTGTACTGTTGGAACAAGCATCAAGATTATATTGAGGGCTTAATGGCCTCTCGTCATCATTATGCTTTCCTCTGCTTTCAGTTTGTTTAGAGTGTATCGCTTTAGTCCGACACTATATTGCAATAAAACTTGACAATTTCCTAGTATTCTGCTTTGACACTAATTAGTTTGCAGAAATGAAAACAGGGAGAATTACAAAACGGCAAAAAGAAAGAAGAAGATGACTGCAGTGAAACTGCCACTGACTCAATCTCGGGATCTCATTATCTGTGTCCCTCTCTAAAGGTCAATAAAAGCCTTTGAAGGCCGTATTTAAGGAGGTCGTCCTTTGGGCTGCAGTGAACAAGTCTGCTGATTTCAGGTCATTACATGAGAGACGAGGTCTGCGTCTCTTGGGTGGTGCTGCTGCTGCTGGCTTCCATGACACCCAAGGGCACCCGAGAGCTCAGCGATATACGCTTACGGGAGGTTAGTGGTGACAGTGACGCCAGCTGCCTCTGTGGCAACAACACGCATATTTACACAACGATTCTTCAGGGCAAACTCAAAGTCACAGGAATGAGTGCAGAGAAACGGGAGACTGAGGGCCTCCCGTCCATGCAGCCATGTAGACGTCTCAGACGGCACGGGCTGATGGAGGTGATTTGAAAAGGCAAGCAAAGCAGAGCTGTCACTTCGCTTTAATTTTGGATTCAAACTGCCCGGAGAGGCAGACATCTGTCAATGTTCTGTTGTGCTGCAGAAAAACAAGTTCTAACTACATCTCAACACCTTCTTTATATTTTGTTAGCTGCTGCTCGACATATTAGACAAGCTAAAAATAGAAGTTTCCTTCAAAGGGTGTGCAGTACATTACAGTAATGTATTTACGTATTATTTGTGTCATTTTATTATCTCTCCCATTCTGAGGTGGGAATTTTATTTATAGTCACAGATAATTATCTTCTTTAGAATTGGAATTATAAACAGTTTTATGCCATGTGTTGCACAACCAGTGTGATTTGGTGAATAATGAGTAACACAGTGAGAGTCAAGAAACAAACACACAAAAATATAAAACCAATGCTTGAAAACATGTTTTTATTGTGCTGCCATGACTTTTTAAGTTATTAACTAGTATAAAAGATTCATTTTATGTAGTTTAGTGGCAGCATCAGTTCTCTTATTGCAAAAACGGGTTTGTCAGAGGAAATCTTTAACTGAACTTTTGCACCACAGTGCATTTGTGTACACGGCATTCATCTGTATTTTGGTTTGAATTACTTAGAGCAGCATGCTGCTGTGGTGCTGCAGCAATGATGCCATATCTTCCTGCGGTGGATCAATGACGCTGATCTGTTCTCGAACAGAGTTGTGGTTTAAAACATTATCAGATTTTATGAATTCATGATCCTTTCAATGTGAACTCCTCTGCAAAACAGCCACAGCAGTCAGACAAATGCGGCACAGTAAAAAGTACAATATTTTATATCTAATGGAGTTGCAATGTAGATTAGTATTGGAAGAGTGGAAGAGGTACCACGTGCTTTCGGAAAGTTAATATTGTGGTTTAAAAATATTGTATTTAAATGTTGACTAAGGAAAAAATAGTAATTTTAAGCAAGGTGTGCCGTCAACAAAGTATCAACGGTATAAGTATAGACAATGATGACACTGTGTCAAAATGCTGTGCAATGTTTCCCCCTGAAAGGTACAACTGGAGAAGTTAAAGTGCACGTTTTTACTCAAGTACAGTGGCCTCCTTGTTTAAACTTAATGCATCACGATGATGAAACGTAAACCGCCGTTATTTAATCAACACGGGAGCGGCGCGTGGTGCGGGAGAACCACCTGAGCCGCGCGCGCAAACACACACACACACACACACACACACACACCTGCCCAGTGGGCTGACTGGACTGCGTCCCACTGCGCATGCGTCCCACTGAAGGGCTACACTGTCATGGCGGTGACGAGCTGAAGCTACCGGGGGTGAATCAGGAAGAGAATGCAGCGCAGCTGGGTGAACGTTGACGTCTGAAGACTTTCGCCGGGGAGGGACCGAGCGGACAGCCCGTCCTTTTGTCGACTTCTGCCCGAGCTGCTGACGGACTTACACCCCCCCCTCCCCCACTACACACCCCCTTTTTCCAGTTTGTGAGTTTTTTTTTTTTGCTTCTGCCGAGCCGCGATACCTGTGAAGTGTGTGGACTCAGCGACAAAAAGCAACTTCCACCGCCGCGACGGAGAGACTAAAGTCCCCTCCGCTGCCACTGGAACACGCCGAGGGGACGAGAGGTTAAGGGCGAGCTCTCCTCTTCACCTGCTTCGCCCCCCCTCGCTTCCCCTCTTACCTGCTGCACACTTCCTCGCGGCTTTTACCGACATTAATCCGCCTGGGATCAAGTTCCGGACCGGAGGACAGGAGCAGTTCACCGAGGAGCGACGCGGGGGACACGTTTATATATCCAGTCCCGCAGTGTCAGCGGCCAACACGCGGTCTCCGCACCTTTTTATATATATATATATATATATATATATATATATATTTTTTTTGCCCCACTTCGGCGAAACAGTTTTTTTTTTAGATGGGGAGAAACACGTTGAAGGGGACATAAACCCCTCGAAGCTCCTGCGACGATCGGCTGCACCGCCCCCTCCCCACTCACCGGAGGTGAACAGGTGCCTTACCTGTGTCTCTCCCCCCCTTCCCCCGCTTCCTCCCTTTTAGCAAATGGCTAGCGAGGAGACGCCGGGCGCCGCCGGACCGGACGGGAGACCCGGCGCCATGGCGCTCAACCCCGCGGTGCCCATCAGGGGGATCAAGATGAAGTTCGCCGTGCTCGCCGGCCTGGTGGAAGTTGGCGAAGTTTCCAACCGAGACATCGTGGAGACGGTGTTCAACCTGGTAAGCTGATTAGGAGGGCTCAGCGCGGGCCTCGGACGGCGCGGTGTCACGTTGCGGAGGGCAACTGTGAGATCCCAATGTGTTTTGTCTGACGTCATCCTCGTCTGCGTATAAAAGATGGTTACTTGTAGTCTCTGTTGAAATTGAGAATTCCTTTTATATTGGTGTTTGCCTAAATTGTCTTAATGTTTGTCTACTTTCATATGCCTCATGCAATGGTGCGCTGTTTCTAAACGAGGGGCCTATCTGTGTATCAGACACACACATAGTGTGCAGTTATGACGTCCTTAATGAAATAAGACAGGATGCAACGTCAGGAGAAGTGAGCATATAGCACAAAGCCACCGTGCTTTTTGTGACACATCCAGGTCAGCGCGTGTGTGTTTTATCTATCTAATACCTGTTTGCCACCCTATATTCCTCATCCAGCTTTGAATGTCTGCAGCACTGATGGCCCTTTGGCTGCCAGAGATGGTTTCTTTGCACCTGCATGCGAATGAATGACACTGTGGCTGACAGGGAAGTTCAGCATGAACGAGGGAGAGAGAGAGCGAGAGGCCTGTGTAGATTTTTGCTGGTTAGGTGAGGAAGAGAGGTGGAGCTGGAACCGGCAAAACCGCTTTATCGCTGTGGCAAAACAATGGAGTCCTTTTTTTTTAGAAAAAGGCATGCAGGCTCATCTTGTCCTTTGTCAAGTTTTGCTCCCATGCAAACCCACTGCGAGGACGCTTCTCCTCAGGAGGCCGTATCACTGCTAATCCTCCTCCAGCCGCAGTGACAACATTCCACCATTTGCATGTAAAACCCAAGATGCAGACTGACGGATTGTATTCTATAATGCAGCAATTTGATTAATATTTTGGTTTCTTACAGGGAAGATGAGGAAAATGTCACTCAGAAGTTGTCAGAGCAGCAGTAAATCCTCACGTTTGAGAAGCTGGAAATAGCAAATATTGAATTGGTTTATCAACTCTGCTTTTCAGCTCCTGCGCTGAGCTGTTTCTCAATGAGGCAGGAGAGCTTTAGTGGAACACGTATTCCGTTATTGTCTACTGATGAGGATGTTTGTTTAAAACTAAGGCATAAGATTTTAACTTTGAGTGGCTCACGCGGGCTGAAGTGACATTTGTGTTGTTCTTTGGTGGTGAAAATATAGAATTTGTAATTATAAGCACTAAAGAAATGACTGGATTAGTTTGATAGAGAAGCCTCAAATAGATCACGTCCTTGCTCACAGCCTTTTTTCTTTTTTTGCTCCTTATTTCTAACGACAATCAGAACCCCCCCCCCCCCCGACTGCCTCGTGGCTTTAGATTGGTGAGACGGAATGTATAACGGATATCACAAGGAGGAATTGTTTTCAGCCGCCCATCTGAAGAGAAAAGGAGAGCCCCTAATTACTTCTTGATTTCCTTTTTTTAGCCCCCCAGAGTCAGCCAGGCGTTTCTTTTGACAGAAGTATCTGTGTGCAGCTCTTGTCTGAGCCCCCCGGACCCTCGTGTTTAACATCGTCTGTGTCATTTCGGGGCTTTGAGCGAGATCTCCGTGCATTCCATTATGCTCACCACCCCCTGCACCCTCGGCTCCTTCGCTCTGCGATAATCTGATTTGCCAGAGGCCACGCTCTTCTCTTTAGCGCCATCTCCTTTGCAGCCTCCTCGGCGCACGAGTCCTCCGCTGTATTTGGTTTGTCGCTACACTCCGTCCTCCGGAGGGTTTGTCTCAATATTCTAGCGTGACTGAAACCGTGGATGTGGTGACTTGTGACCGGAGTTATAAACGTCAGAAAGGAGGAAAAAAAAATAAGATCTTCATGCTGGCATTGTTTTTGCGTCAAATCTTTAGTCAAATAAGCTGTGTGTGTGTGTGTGTGTGTGTGTGTGTGTGTGTGTGTGTGTGTGTGTGTGTGTGTGTGTGTGTGTGTGTGTGTGTGTGTGTGTGTGTGTGTGTGTGTGTGTGTGTGTGTGTGTGTGTGTGTGTGAGATCAACGCTTGTTGAGGGATGTACGAGGAGTTGAACCTTTTTTTTTTTAAAGCCTAACTGTTAAGGTTTAAGCTGGTACGGTTGTAACTCTGTGTGGTGGAGTATCTTTCACACAGCCACTCATTTACGGTTTTCTCTCAAATTCTGCTACTGAGAATTGTTTGCCTTGTCACGGCTGGCTGGCTCGTACCCGTCTTGGTTGACAATATCAAAGTCTTTTTAAAAGAGGGGGTGAGGCGCAGGAGGCAGTGGATTTCACATGTTTGTCTTTGCTTCATTTTCCTGCATTAAATACCAAGCATAAGTACAGTATTTCCACTTTTCAGGGACCGGTATAGGTGTAATAATATACATATGTTAGATCATTATTATAGTATATCAAGGAGCAATATTCTACAATGATTAAAAAAAACCTAATTATAATGATGAGAAAGGGCTGCTCCCATTCCACTGAGAATCAACGCCCTATTTCTAAACCCTATGAGGATTTCTGCCGTCTAATTGTTTAAGTGGTTGCACCAATGCCCCCCCCCCCCTCCACACACCCAAATCCAAACCACACCAGTTTTGGACAAAACACTTCGCAGCGGCTGCCACTCAAACTTATCACGCAGGATCCCAACATTCCAAATGGTCCAATGGTCCCTGTTGTTGTAGCCTGAGTTTCGCTGCCGGCTTCTGAGAAAAAACATCTGGGTTCACAGCTGTGCTGTTTGTTAATGTTTGACTTTCTTTCCCACTGATTGGTTTTCTTTACCTTTTTTTTTCTTTTTCTTGTATGGCAGGTTGGTGACTGGTACAGTCATTCTGCGTGAGCTCCTTTCCTGTTAGCGGCAGGCCGCAGTTTTTACAGGAAGCAGCCGTGCTTTGGTTTTCTCGTCCTCGCTAACTGAAACGAGACAACGAAAGCTGCAAAGTGTCTCGTCGATTCTCCCTCCGGGTTTGCGAAAAATAGACTTCTGAGGCGTGTGTCCCACGACTGTGATGTCATCTTCAGTCGACATCCAGGGGGCGGGCTAAGCTCGCGGATGTGTTCCTTAAGGTCCATATGGGCTCACACGCTCGTGCCCCTCGGTAATTCAGTTCATGAATCAAAACATGTCAATAACATCGGGATGCAACAACTGTTCCAATCTCAGCTCACTCACATCCCAACGCCGCCTTCCTCCGATTATCCGAGAAGCCGCTCTGTAAACCATTGACCGACGTGCTCACGGCTCGCCCGGCAGGTGACACAGGAGATGGGGGACTTTGTTGTGTGGAATGTAACCCCCCCCACCTGAAGTCAAGGTCACATGGTCGGCCGCTAGTTGTGGAAATGAAATGCACATGAAGAGCAATGCGATTACAAAACGATTGTAAATATTGATTTCATGTTTAATGTCCATTTTTGGGACGTAGCATTCTTTTTTCTCAATATCCACAAATCAATGGGATTATCATGGCAGCCCATAAATCTACATCAGACTGAAGGTCCTCTTATGTTTCAGGTCCGTAAATATTTCATGCTACGGACCTGTATTTAGTTTCATTTGGACTTTGCAAACTGAAGAAAAAGTAGCCACCTTCTGTAACATTTTACTTCCAAGCGTCAAAGAGAAAATCTGCTTTATTTTAAAATCTGAATTGTCGTCAGGTGTTGTTCTTTGTCGTGACCGGCGCCGTCTCTCCTTGATGGTTCTTTCTTCCACTGATGTTGCCACAGAGGATCCTCCTTCAGAGACTCTTGCTGTCATAACTGAAATTAATTGTTCTAAAACTGCACCGTTCCTGTGTTTTCTTAAAATAGTGTTTTTGTTTTATTAAACCTTTTTTCTTACACAACCACTGCAGGGGAGAATCATGCAAAGTAGCCGTGACTTGAATTCCTGTTGGATCAGGTTTTGAAATCGTGAAATTGATTTTACTAGCTTTGCTTTTGGTATCTGCAGATCTGCAGAGGCTATTTTTGCCTTCACTAACTAAAACAACTAAGAATGGCTGCCGTTTAATGGCGAGATAAGGTTTTAATACAAAAGTCATTCCTGCAGGACCTTTTTTTTAAAGACCATATCATCGATTTGTTCCACTTATGTAGCATTGAGAGGGTTTGGGTTTTATGTGACACGTTGCTGAGAACTTAGTTCTCAGCAACGTGAATATTTTCCTGCTCCTTCCCCCCCCCCCCCCCGGGCCCCACCGTGTGCACGCACATGACGCAGCCCGGAATGCAACGACACCCACAGAGCGTCCCTTCAGCGGCGCACAATGACACAAGGGGAAGGCGGCCGAAGGGCGATCCTTGTCCTCCGGAAGCAACAAAGAGCCCTCTAGTCTGACACATGAATGAAACACTATCTGTGTCTCTTCAGCCCCGTTCCACGGTCACACCTTTCCCCTCCGTCTCCACTGCGGCTAAAAAGCCATCGGGGAGAGGGGCGAAGAGTGCGGGGCTTTTGTCTAAACAAACAGCCACAGTTTATAGTTCTGTTTGTGTTACCTTTTTTAAATTCTCAGTATTTTCATTCCACCGACACCGAGACAGCTGAACTGTTGTTGCCGGTTAAAGCAGTAAAATCCACGCAGCGAGCAGTTTGAGGAGGGGGGGGGGGGCACACAGGTTGGACAGCTTGCACTTCAGCTCTACCTGGATGTCAGTGTGGTTAGACCTCATTTAGACCCCGAGCAGATCAGATAAGACCGCCGTCAGGCCTCCTCCTCACCGGCTGACAAACAGCCGGACGGCCTCTGGATTCAATAGCGATTGAACACACTTGCGATAGGGGGCTTTGTGGAAGTCTGACGTATATTCATTTTCTACTCTACGGTTATGCAAACTTACCACACGGCAATTTGGTGCTCACCCAGCTCCTGGGGGGGTTTTGTCTTTTTGTTCTGATTGCAGTAAGACCGACTGTGGACTCTGGAGTGGCGGGTTTAGTGTTATTGCGACACAGCGCGCAATAATCCATAAGTTTCAATGTTCACGTTTCAGCCCGATGAGCCGCGGTTGTAACTACGGTTGTAAACTAATTTGT